TAAAGTGAAAGCTCAAAGTGGAGTGGGAGAAAGAAGAGGGGAACGGAGGAAGATAGACTTAGTAGAGGAATTTTGAGTTAAGGAGAGACTACAGAGGGTTTCGCTTCACGGAAGATCTAAAGATTAAATTTACAGGAGGGGGAAATGGGAAAAGGCTGAAAGACTTCTCCCCTCTAATGGCCAGAAAGTAAAGTTATCTGCTACAAGGCGCAAGGCAGAACTCAAAAAAAGGTCTGCTGCAAGCAAACATATGGTAGGGAATTTTTTTCTCTCCCCTTATATGTCTTCTTAGCCTAACTAAGCTCGTTCTAAAACACTACACAACTGTAAGGAGCCACGTCCATCCTCGTCTACACATTTACCATCTTTCCTCCAACAATAGGGGAACCAACACTAGAAATAGGCGAGGGCAGACAGAGGTCCTAGGTTTCTTTCCTTCCTGCTAAAACTCCTCTAGTCTCGGCCCCTTTGCCGATCTCTAACCGCTGCCACTAGGGGGTCGTGCTACACAGTATTTAATGGTTCGCTTGTAAATAGCATCTCCCAAAAGATGCAGCAGACGCAGAGCAACCGAGTTGGTACTCTCCCTTCCCCTTTTGCGGCAGATACAGCTACGGGCAAGAAAATACAGGCCAATTTTTAAAGAATACACAAGATGTGGAACGAAACACAAGGCTACCAGCTCCAACGGAAGAAGGCGGGCCCAGGTGACATCACGCGTCCTCAGTCTCTAGACCGCCCGGCGCTGGGCGTGTCTGGGCATTGTCACCAAAGGCTTCGCCCTGCCTCCGGTGACGTCACGCCAGTCCGAACCTCTAGTATCTCCCCGGCCGCCCTGCCCATCGCCGGGCGCGGTGGCGCACGCCTGTAGTCCCAGCTACTCGGGAGGCTGAGACAGGAGGATCGCTTGAGTCCAGGAGTTCTGGGCTGTAGTGCGCTATGCCGATCGGGTGTCCGCACTAAGTTCGGCATCAATATGGTGACCTCCCGGGAGCGGGGGACCACCAGGTTGCCTAAGGAGGGGTGAACCGGCCCAGGTCGGAAACGGAGCAGGTCAAAACTCCCGTGCTGATCAGTAGTGGGATCGCGCCTGTGAATAGCCACTGCACTCCAGCCTGGGCAATATAGCGAGACCCCGTCTCTTTTTACATGTTACATGTTTGTCACTTTTTTTTTATTTTTTACTGTAACATTAAGATAAATTACGAAGAAAACAATACTGCCTTTTTTAAATTTAAATCTCTGACTTCCTCGCCCGTTCGTCCGTCCCCCCATTCTTTGGTTTTATATTTCCTTAGGGGTTAAAACTTAATGTGTTTGCTCAAGACATTCAGTTCCTGTAGTGCCTCACTACTGACTCCTACCGGAGTGTAGTCGAAATACATCCCCCAAAAGCTGTTATTACCCAAGATACCAGCAGGGACTGCTAGTTTGTTTAAAAGCGGTTGGAAAAAAACCGCCCTCAATCAACTTGCAGAGCAGTGTGAAGCTAATTGGGGAGTGATAAATTTACCTATGTCTGTGTTTCTGAGTTCAGTGCTTGGCTGGAGATCTTTCGGTAATTTCTGTAATGTCTTCCTAGCATTTTTAAAAAATGCTTGCCTCTGTATCCATTTGTATTAAGTCTTACTGCAAATGAATATAGAATAACCTTTAAAAACTTGGAAGCCATGATGTCTAAGTTGTAGCCCATAGTAGCCTTAACTTAGAATGCATAAGGTCTGGACTCTTACCACTGCAAAAGAACAGAAGGAATTTAGGTCATATTTACTAGACGGAAACTACGGAGATGCTAAATATTTGAAAAACAACAAAAAAGTTACCATCTCCCTACTACAAAAAATAGAGACAAAAGCACTTTAGTTTATCTTATTCCGTTTGCTGTTTTTCTCCTCTCCTAAACAGATCCTTAAATTTGGTCCCCAGCAGCTTAGTTGTGGCTATCTATAATCACTACCAGAGTAGCTGGCTACCTTCTTACCCCTGCAGTTCTTTTTTTGTTTTGTTTTGTTTTTGTTTTTCGAGACAGGGTTTTCTCTGTGTAGCTTTGGAGCCTGTCCTGGCATTCATGCTGTAGCCCAGGCTGGCCTTGAACCCACAAACATCCACCTGCCTCTGCCTCCCCAGTGATGGGATTAAAGGCATGCCCCACCAAGCCCTATAGTTCTTATACACCTTAGTTTTTTTTCTGAGACCTGAGAGGTGGTCATGATTCCTGTTTCCTCAAAAGATGTCTGTATTCTAACATCTGGACATGGCCATACAGACACTGTAGGGGATAAGACTTCATGAATTCCATTAACTTTGGGGTCATGAGGTAGAAAGGTTATTCTTATGGGCCAAATAAAACCCAAGGGTCCTTATAAAAGAGTGCTGGAATTATGGAAGGTGATATGGCCTGGAAACAGATCAAAGCTATTCAGAATCACCGATCAAGGAATATGGTAACTTTGGGAACTGTGAGAGACAATGTAAGGGGGTTTCCTGAGTCACTCCCCCACTCCCATAACCTCCCACCCCCACACGTGGAAGAATGCAGTTCTGCAGACCCCTTTGGGACTTTTGACTCTCAGAATGCTAAGAGAATAAACATGTTACAGCCTGAAGACTGCTCCTCTACAGAAGAGACTACTCACTACTGAGATGAGCTAAACCTGTCTCCCTGGTCCAGCTGTATACCATAAACTCTGCATCCTTGTTCAACTGTATATAATAACCTGCCATCTCTGTTCAAGTCTAAATAATAAAAACGCTGAGCTCAGGGCGGGGGCTATGGTTTCTCCAGCAGAGAGCCCTGACCATCTGATCCCAGCTTTCTGTTTATGTGTCTGTCTTTTTCTTCATTCCTTTACTGCCCTAGTCAGATCCATCCCTGGATGCTGTGCATGGATCAGCCATTGTATTCTTTACATCTCTACACTTGTGGCTTTTACAGCAGTAACATGCCATTTACAGAGGTTGTAAAGCTTCATGGATATACAACAAAACTGAGAGCTGAAAGATGTCTGTTGCTCTCATCTGTATCATGCCTATATTTTATTTTAAACATAGTATGTTGATTGTTAGTTTTTTCCCCTATGTCTCTGTATGTGTTTTTGACCATATACTTAACCTTCTAATTGTATTTAGGACAGAAAAAAAATTTTTTGATGCTCACTACAGAGTGCTATGATATGGATATAGTTTAAGTTCTGGAACCTTGGTGTCCAACGGTGTTATGGAGCTGACAGAATCTTTAACGGTGGCGGTTTAGATATTACCAGGTGGGTGGTTAGAACGATGGGAATCCTGTGTCTCAGAAACAATACTCATCCCAGCAGAAAACAGTTTCACTCCCATGAAAGAAAACTGTTAAAAGAAGAAGCCTGGCTGGATAGTGGTGATGTACTCAGGAAGCAGAGGCAGGAGAATCTCTGAATTCAAGGTCAGCTTGGTCTACAGAGTGAGTTCCAGGACAGCCAGAGCTACATAGAGAAACCCTGTTTAAATACTAATACTAATACTAATAATAGAAGGAGAAGGAGGAGGAGAGGGAGGTAGAGGAGGAAGAGGAAAGGTAGAAGCAGCAGTAAGAGCCTGGCCTCTGAGCCCCTGCTGCTTCTGTCTCACCTTGTAACTGTCCTCTCCCTCTCACGTGTGATATGTAGCCTAACCGCCCTCGTTAAACTTGAAATAGACAAGGCTACTCGATCTCAGATTTCCAGCTCTCAAAACTTCAAAGTAAGTAAACTTTGTATGTCGTCTAACCTTTGGCATTTTGTTACAGCAACAGAAACCAGATCAAGACATTTGCCAACATTAAAGGTTTATGATCTGGGCATGGCAGTATGTATGTACCTGTAATTCCAACACCAAGGAGACTGGGAACGGAGAGGGAGTCTGCGGCTCCTTCTGGATTATATGGTATGTTTAGACCAGCCTTGACTACACGGCATGATCTGTCTCAAAACAAACTAAACAAAAAAAAAAAAAAAAAAAAAAAACAAAACAAAAAAAAAAAAGGGAAAGGGTAGAAGGGGAGGGAGGGAAACTGTGATTGATTATATATACCCAAATAATAATTACAAAAATTCTTATGTGTTTAGATACTTTTGATCTTTTTCCTGCTTTTGGTGTTTTCTCTTGAATGGTCTCACTCGTTGGTCATTTTAACTTCTAAGTACATATATCTATCACCGGTATAAAGTTTGCCGGTTTTACTAAGGGTGTTGGTAATTCCACCTGAGGCAAGAGAATAGAGTTCTAAGGCAGCCTGGGCTACATAGCAAGACCCCGTCTCAAAAGCAACACACACACACTGTTCAAAACTAGTAGATTTTTGTACTTAGTTTTAAGTCGTTTATTACTAATACTAGAACTTTTAAAAAGAAATAAAAAAAAATAGACTCATTGCCGTATATTTGAACCAGGAATAATTCATGAATCGGTAGCACGCAGAACCAGGGCAAGTACGGAGAACACTGGTTCGTGGGCGAGGAGTAGTTATTTTTCTCCACGGGAACTCTCGCTTTATTTTTATCTGACATCTTAGTGAAATTCTCGAATATTGGAGGTGCCAAGGATTTATGACTCTCAGGCTGTATAGCACCCGCCACATTTCAAGTTGAACGAGAATCCTACAGTAAGCCTCAGAATCCTACTTGGGGTCCTACCCATCAAAATAGAAATTGTCTCTAGCGCTCAACTGGACGCGGGAACGCCCACAGCTGCGTTTTCTCCCGGCTCCCATTCGCATTTGCAATGAGCTCTTGCTCCTCCACCCCAGCTCCAGCGCCCTCCTGAGGCAATTCTCCTTCAACTGGCGGTACTGATCCTGTCAGTGTCCCAGCAAGGGACGCAGTTTCGAGAAGGTAGTGGGCCCTATTTCGAGTTATTTTAATACAGTGGGGGAAAAGAAAAAAAAAAAAGCTGATCATGATTTCACAAAAAAAAAAAAAAAAAAAAAAAAAAAAAACAGTAGCATGACGTCCTCCCTTCAAGGAATATTGGGTCTTCTGGACTGCCGTAGAACCGAGCGGAGCGCGCGTGCGCAGAAGCCCAGCGGCCGTGCGTCGGGTCGGCAGCTCCGAGAGGACTGCGGTAGAGACGCGTAGCCTAGCCATGAAGAGCCGCTTCAGCACGGTTGATCTCCGCGCTGTGCTCGCGGAGTTGAACGCGAGGTACGGTGGTGCGGGTGAGCAGGCTCGCGCTCGGAGCGCAGGACGCAGAGGCCGGGAACTGGGTGGCCGCGAGCCGGGCCGGGATCCCCACGGCCGTCCCAGTGCCCCGGGGATTGCTTAGGCCTGGGGACCGACCTCGGGGCCTGGGTCCTCGGGGGACCCCCGGGGTCCCCCGTGCTGCCTTTCCCTGGCGCTGACCCGGAGGGATACTGCCTGCCGGGCAGCTTGGTAAAACTGGAGGTGCCAGAGTGACGGTCATTGTCTGGTCCTGCTTTCTTCAGAACTCTCACCTTTGAATCCCAAAGGGAGGGAGCAGTGCTGTCCCGCAGTAATTCTCAGATTTGGACCTGAATTCCGAGCTTGTCTCTTACTCAGCTGTAAGAGATTAGTCGTATGTTCGTGGGGCTCGGCAACTCCCACCCCTTGTAATAAATCAGATTAAATTTTAACTGTGTTTCCTCCCAAAGCACTTGGGCCGTTTCTGATGAAGGAAGTTGTCTGGTGTTCCTGAGGCCGACAGGCAATTTTCTGCTTAAATGTCTACAGTTAATTTTTTTTGGGGGGGGGAGTCGGGGGGATAACCTTACCTTGAAAAGGGGTCCCGATATCCTACTGAAGGAAGAGTTCCCCTTCTTTAACCTTAATAAATGACGGAAAGTGTTGCTTTAAGCAAGAGCATGGTTTTGTTATGTGTTTCTTTCTTTCTTTTTTTTTTTTTTATCTTTGCAGCTTGCTAGGAATGAGAGTAAACAACGTTTATGATGTGGATAACAAGACATATCTTATTCGGCTTCAAAAGTAAGAATATTTTATAGGCTTGTTTTGGTAAATAAATAGGACATTTTTTTCTTTAACCTGCATTTTAGGCTTTGTTTTGTTTTGTTTTTCCGGAGAATAAGCTTTGGCAAATTCCTTAAAGAAAAATTTGGCTTTCTCTTGAACAGACCCGATTTTAAGGCTACGTTGTTACTTGAATCTGGTATACGAATTCACACAACAGAATTTGAGTGGCCTAAGAACATGATGCCATCTAGTTTTGCCATGAAGGTAAATTTTAAGTTTGAAGCTAATTTTTAAAACTACATTAATTTACTTATTTGAGAGAGAGAGTGAGAGAGAGAGAGAGTGTGTGTATGTGTAGGTGTGTAGGTGGAAACGACAGACAAGCACAAGTTGGGGCTTTTAAGTGAATGTCAGGATAACCTGTAGGGAGTCAGTTCTACTATAAACCGATAGGTAGGGAGTGAGGTCTAACTCAGGTCCTCAGACTTGGTATATGTGCTGTAACGTGCTGGTATGGCTAGTCTTTGTGTCCCCCTGCCAGCTCCCAAATAACCCCAGGGAGACTTCTTGTTATGAAAGCTTAGCTGATGGCTTTGGCTTGTTCATAACTAGCTCTTATAACTTAAGCTAACCCACATTTTTATTAATCTGTGTTCTCCACATGGCTTTTACCTCTACCCCATTTTGTATGTCCTACTTGTTTGGCATCTGTCTGGCTTCTGCGTCATTCCCAGCATTCTCTCTGCCCTGAAAATCTTGTCTGTTGGTCGTTTAGCTTTTATTGAAACCAATCACTGTGACATATTGTCACACAGTGTAAAGGAATATTCCACAACATTCTGACCTGGAACTTGCTCTGTATTGTTGTTTTTGAGACAGGGTTTCTCTTTGTAGCCCTGGCTACGTAGACCAGGCTGGCCTCAAACTCAGAAATCCACCTTCCTGGCTTCCCTGACTTCCCCAATGCTGGAACTAAAGGCATGTGGCACCATTCCCAGCTTGGAACTTTCTATGTAGAGCAGACTGACCTAGAATTTAGGATGATCTTTCTTCCATTGCTAGGATTACGGTACTTTGCCATCATGTGTCACTCAAAAAATTCTTGAGCTGGGTTTGGTGGTTCATATACTTGTAACCCCAATGTTCAGGAGGCTGAATAGGATGGTTAGTCTGGGCTACTTCACTGAGTGACATTTTGCCTGAAAAAACAGAAAACAGTAACAAACTCATGGCACTCTTATTGAGTTAAGTTTATTTGTCTACTTAAAAGATAAGTTTTTTTTTTCTTTACAATGGAACAGAAGGTATTTTATATTTAAAAAAGAGCTATAGTTGTATGATGTAAGTAGGGTAATGTCTAGTATATGGTAAATCACTGGCTGTCCTGGTTCTTATCATTATTCTAAAAAATAGAATACAAAACAACTGTTTCAGTTAGAAGTTACTAGAGTAAAGGCTTAAGGATTTTTCCATCCTGGCCTCTGGGGCCTGGCAGGCTGGCTCAATAGACAAAAGCTACAAGCTAATGACCTGGGTTTGATCCCTGAAGAGTGGAGAGAACCTATTCATGCAAGTTATTTACTGACCTCCACTGCACACTGTGACAAGCTTGGTGTTACCCCACATTCCCCAAATAAATAAATATGTAAAAAAAAAAAAAAAAAGTTTTTCTCTGATTATCATTTGTAAGCTTTTGTTTTATGACCATACTGTTTTATTTACCATTTACTAGTCCAGTGGCATAAATATAATTTTCGTAAGTGGTTAAGAATTTATTGTATAAATGCTTTTTTCTTCTGTTTCTTGCTAGTGTCGAAAACATTTGAAGAGTCGGAGATTAGTCAGTGCAAAACAGCTTGGTGTGGATAGAATTGTGGATTTCCAGTTTGGAAGTGATGAAGCTGCTTATCATTTAATCATTGAGCTCTATGATAGGGTAAGTTAAATTGAGAGGAAAAAGGAAATAGAATAATATGCTCTGTTTGTTTTTCACTCCTTTCATTCAGTGTTGTGTTTAAGGTGGTTTATCATGTTCACACTGTCATTTTAGTTGATGTTAAGAGTTATTTAAATTCTACATCTTTGCAAATACTTGTCTCTTTTTTTAATTTTTTTCAAGACTGGGTTTCTTTGTGTTTCTCTGGCTGTCCAAAACTTACTTTGTAGACTAGATTGGCCTCAAATTCATACCTACTTCTACCTCCTGAGTTCTGGGATTAAAGGTGTGTGCTACCACCACCAGGCTTTATATGTATGTGTGTATGTATTTGCATTTTTTATTTTTGATTTTTTGAGATGGTTTCTCTGTACAACCACACTGGCTGTCCTGGAACTCACTCTGTAGGCCAGGCTGGCCTTGAACTTACATAGATCCTCCTGCCTCTGCCTCCTGGGATTAAAGTCATTTACCACCACTGCCCAGCAAATTAAAAAAAAAAAAAATTTAATTTGGAGATAACACTAAGTTCTTGTATACTGTACACTTACTTAGTTTTTTTTACTAATGTTATATAACATTAGTATAACTGTTTATTGAATTGTAGGCTATCTTCATTCATAGTTTTTCTGTTCCAGTATATCCCATTGAATTTAAGGGAGTCTCCATTTGAAGGATCTGAGCAAGTAGGTATGCATAGGTTCTAGAAATCCAATTAGTGATGAATTTGAGGTGAATACTAAGAATTTATATGTAAGAGTGTGGACTTGGGATTTTGTTTGGTCATTGTGTTATCTTTGAGATGTAGTTATTGATACTTAAGAATGTCCTTTAAAGATTGCTTTTTCTTTTGTGTACACTGCCCTAGCTTTCATATCTGGAATTTTGAGTATTAATGCATGTAGGGTTGATTAGACTGTGTGTAAAGAGGATTACTGCAACTCAAGAGCAACTTAATAAGAATCTGAGAGATACAAATTTGAAGGCAGAGGTTTCTGTTCCTCTAGGTCCTATAGCTGTTTAGTTTCAAATAAAGACACTAAAGCTTATATAAATTGTAAACTGCTTGGCTGATGGCTCAGGTTTTTTACTGGTTAACTCTGTCTTAATTATTAACCCATAACTATTAATCTATGTATTTCTACATGGCCTTATCTTCCCTGAAAATGCCCGGCATCCTATCTTCCCAGTGATTACCTGGTGTCTCTCTGGTGGCTCCTATCTGCCTTCCTCTTCCAGGAATTTTGTAGAAAAGATTTTTATTAGCAGGGCACTGGTGGCACATGTCTTTAATTCCAGCATTTGGGAGGCAGAGGCAGGTAGATCTCTGTGAATTTGAGGCTACCATGATCTGCAGAATGAGTTTCAGGACAGCCAGGGCCACACAGAGAAAAAAAAAAACTCTGTCTTTAAAACAACAACAAAAAACTTGCCTGGTTGTTGCAGAGGTCAAAAGAAGGTGCCAAATTCCATGGAACTGACATTACAAATGTTTGTTAGCCACAATGAAGGTACTGGAAATTGAACCCTGATCCTCTACAAGAATAACACTTTCTCTAAACTATCTCTCCATCCTCCTAATTTTTTTTAATGGATCTTTTAAAAAAGATGTATTTTTTCATTTTTAATTATGTGTATTTGTGTACATACATACACACACATTTGAATGTAAATGATCACAGAGGCCAAAAAACCATCCTCAGATTCCCCTGGGACTGGAGTAAGAGGCAGTGTTAAGTTGCCTGCTGTGGGTGTTGGAAATTGAACTCAGGTCCTGTGCAATAGCAGTGTGCATTCTTAATCACTGAGTAATTTCTCTGGCCTGCTTTACCTTTTTTTCCACCGTCAAAACAGGGCTCCCTGTGTATCCTAGGCTGGCCTGGAATCTGGAACCTTCCTGCCTCAGCATTCTGAATGTTGAAATTATAGTTGTGCTCCATGACAGTTGGCTACACCACACTGTTGTCCTTTTTAGACATACTATGATTTTCATAATTCCATGCATTTGCATTTCATCTTCTCTTGACTTGAATTTTTTTTTTTTGATACTTAGAACTTTTGTTGTTGATTTGTGAGACAGACTCATGTACATGAGTCTGGCCTCAAACTTGTTATGTAGCCAAGAATTACCTTGAACTGATTTTCCTACTACCTTCTTTGTGCTGGGAGTATAGCCATGTGCCATTATGATTGGCTTTGGCACACTTATTAAAGGCACTCAGCTGTTAGGTTTTCATAGTGAAATACTACAGGTAACTTATGCAGGCAACAGGCAAAGAACGTAAAGTTGCTCTAGGTTAGATCTAGGTTGCTTCCAACTTGGAGTCCTTAGAATTTATTTCACAGCCTATTGGGTCAGTACAAGGAGCCCTATTTAGATGTCTCTGGGCTTTCTGTTTTGCAGCTTCATTTCTGTAGCTGTTAAGTAGGTCTTCTGAGGCATCTTTTTCAGTTTTTAAGATATTTCAAGACTGACTTGGAAAAGCATTAAATTATATTTTACTCTATTGCAGGGGAACATTGTTCTTACAGATTATGAGTACCTAATTTTAAATATCCTAAGGTTTCGAACTGACGAAGCGGATGATGTTAAGTTTGCAGTTCGTGAACGCTATCCTGTTGATCATGCCAGAGCTGCTGAACCTTTGCTGACTTTAGAAAGGTAACAGTTATATCATATTGTATTACATACATCATATGTATTACACATCATGCAATCATCATAGTGTATTAAAAGGTAAACTAGGTCATATTTCAGAATTAGAAAAAAATTAAATTAAAAATATTTAGTTGTATAACACTGAATTATATAAACAATTAAATTTTATTTGTGGATAGCAAATGTCTCCCTCTCTCTCCCCCATCCCTTCCCTCCTTCCCTCTCTTTTTTTAAGACAAGCTTTGACTGGCCTAGAACTCTTTATGTAAACTTTGAACTCAAAGATCCATCTGCTTTACCTCCAGACGGCTAGAATTAAGGTATACACCACCATGCCCAGCCCTCAAGTATATATCTTTTTATACTACAGTTTGGGTTATTTAATGCTTGTGATTTCTTGCCAAAGTGAGGTGCTGACTTCACTGTTCTGAGAGAAGACAGGTACATTAGGCAGGCAGAGTGCAGTGTGGGGTAGACATTCTGGTTTATGTCGAAAAAAGTGAAAGGGTAAGGTGACGATTGATGACAGCTTCTCGGGCTGTCAGGCTCTGCTACCTAGTAGTCCATTTGGTGGTCTTCAAAGCTCAGCATTCATCAGAAGCAGTAGGAGGCCTTACTGAACTGTAAATGGCTCATCGCCATTTCAGTAGCTCCAAGGGGGGACATTTTAACAGGTTCTTTAGTTTGGGGGCTGCATTGAACAACAGAATCCTTATGAATTCTTAGCAAATCTTTAATTAGGTGTTTAATTGCAGGTGTTCAGATATGACATGTCGATTTACAAACAACATCTAACTTTTATATAGAAATGCATCTTGTCACATTGATAATAAGCAATTCATGACTTTGTTGAAAAATACTTATTTCTTATAGAAAACCTAGATTTAAGTCTCAGGTTATACCATTCAAGAACCTTCTAATTGTGGATAAATTATTGTGTGTTGATAACAGGGTCTTACTGTGTAGCCTAGTCTGGCCTTGAACTCAGGGTGTGCCACCTACCTCTGATTCACGGTTATAAGCATGTATCAACATACCCAGCTCTGGATAAAAAAAATTCTTTTAAAGTATTTGTGTGTTTGTGTCTGTGTCTGTCTACCTGTGTCTGTGTCTGCCTGCGTGCAGAGGCTAGAAGAGGGCATCAGATCCTCTGGAGCTGGAGTTACAAATGGTTGTGGATGCTGGGAACTGAACTCATGTCCTCTGCAAGAGCAAATGTTCTTAACTTCTGAGCCATCTCTAGCTCCATGAATAAATTACTTTTAGGACTAATTTTTTATATCTACACAAATAGTTTTTGTTGCATTTCATACTCTTCTAAGGATTAAATAAATTGATGTGGATAAATGTAATGTGAATGTACATAATGCTATAAGGTTTATTAAATACCAGACAATAAAAAGTGTGTCAATTTTGTCCACAGATTGACTGAAGTCATCGCTAGTGCTCCTAAGGGTGAACTGCTGAAGAGAGTTCTTAACCCATTACTTCGTGAGTATTCCTACATTTTGCAGTAAGATGTTTGAGTGACAACACTTTTACAAATATATTTTTAAAAAATTTTTTCCTTTCAAAAAATTGAACAAGGGGAAAGATACTCAAGTTCAGTTCACAGCTCCATGACCAATGGTTCACAACCACTTGTAACTCCAGGTCCAGGGAATCTGACATCCTCTTCTGGCCTTCATGGCTATCCACATACGAGGCATACATTTACACAAACATACACATAAAACCATTATTATTATTATATTGAACAAGAAGTTAAAAGGGATCTCTTGAGTAAGGATGGTTTTATTCTCAAAGAAAGAAGTTTTTGTTTGTTTTGTGGTGCTAGGCATGGGGCCGAAGGTTTTGTAATGATGAGCAGTCACTAAATGCGATTGTCCTGAAAGATGGAGATTTTTATATTGGTTAGATCTTAAAACAGTGCAGATGGAGCTGAGGATATAGCTCAGTTAGTAGGGTAATAACATTCACAAATCCCTGAGCTCGGTCTTCAGCATTACATGAAAGTTGTCTGGGTAGTACACACCTATAGTCCCAGTACTCTTGTGAGGCAGGAGAATCAGAAATTTAAGGTCATCATTGCCTTTGTAGTCAGCTCAAGGCCAACTTGGGATAGATGTATGAGCAGCCCTTTCTCTCAAAAAATGAACACAATGTCTGGAGAGATGGCTTTAGTAGTAGAGTGCTTACTGCTCATAAGGATCTAGTTCAGTTCCCAGCACCCACATGTGGCTCTCAGATGCCTCTAACTCTAATTACAACACTCCATGGGCTCTTGTTTGCACTGATGCAAATAAACCCATGCACATAATAATACAGAAAATAACACATCTTTTAAAAGAGTAAAAGTGATATAGAATGTTGTCAGTACCTCATTATTGTAGAATTTGGATCATTTGCTTTTTTTCAAGTAACTGTTTTTACTTAGCTTAGTTGTTTGTATTTTTTCTTTACAAAGTTTGTGGACCTCAAGGGTGGTAGCATCTGCCAGATATTCATTTTCTTCTCTTCCTCTCACCCTTGCTAGGTCCTTTGGTTTGGTTTGGTTTTGACACAGGCATGGCTTAGCTTGCCTTGAACTTGTTAAAGTAACTTAGGCAACCTTAAACCCCAGGTGATCCTTCTGCTACACTTTCTTTGGCAGATTTCTATAGCTTTTGAAATCAAGTAGTTTAAATACTTATAGCTCTTTCTTTTGTCTTCCCAAAGCCTTTGACTACACTTTTGCATTTCATTGTACAGTTTAGGGTTAGGGTATTGCTTTCTTCAACAACAAGAAGCCTGCTGGGATTTTGATGAGTGTTGTATTGGTCCTGTGTGGAGAATAGAAATTTTAATTACTGGGTGGTGGTGGTGCATGCTTTTATCCCAGCACTTGGGAAGAAATGGCAGGTGGATCTTTGAGTTTGAGGTCAGCCTGGTTTACAAAGCTACACAGAGAAACTCTGTCTTGGAGGAAAAAAAAAAAAAAAAAAAAAAAAGGAAGAAAGAGAAATTTTAATTACAGTCTTTTGTGAACAAAGAACATCTACTGTTTGTTTGAATTTTTAAAAGTTTAGTGTTTCATAGTTTTTATATATAAATTATGTTCTTAAATGCCTGGATTTTCTTTTTGTGTGTTGTTTTTAAAAATTACTATTCAGCGCTAATAAAGTGATATAGTCTAGAAGACAATGTGTATGTATGTGTTGTGTGTGTATATATATGTACATGTATGTATTCTTTAGAACTTTTTAGCATATAGAGTCATATCTCCTCTGAGAATAAAGCTGCTTTTTCTGTTTTAATCTGAATTCTTTTGAATAATTATATCTTTTTATTTTTATTTATTTTTGTTTTGTTTTTCGAAACAGGGTTTCTCTGTGGTTTTGGAAGCTGTCCTAGAATTAGCTCTTGTAGACCAGGCTGGTTTCAAACTCACAGAGATCCGCCTGCCTCTGCCTCCCAAGTGCTGGGATTAAAGGTGTATACCACCACCGCTTTTTAAAAATATTTTATGTGTGGTTTTATGGATATGTTCTGTGAATATGGTTTATCTTATTAGCCAGTTTTGTTTGTTTTAATTTAAACCTTTATTTTTCTGAGTTTGATATTGATCGAATCCTCTGTTTTACACCAAGTGATATCCTGGGCTTTCTCTTTTTCTTTTAGGTTTTTTGTTTGTTTTGGTTTGGTTTGGTTTTTCAAGACAGGATCTCTCTGTGTAGCTCTGGCTGTCCTGGAACTCACTCTGTAGACCAAGCTGTCCTGGAACTCACAGAGATCCACCTGTCTCTGCCTCCCGTGTGCCAGGATTAAAGGTGAAGGTGTGCACCACCACCACCTGGCTAGCTTTTTCAAGTATACAATACAATGTTATCTGTAGTCACTCTACTGTGCAGTAATATACCAGAACTTTCTAACTTTATCTAACTAAGTACTCACTGGTCAACCTTTCTCTATCCTGTCATATCTATTCCCCTGATAACCACTCTCGGTTTTTGAGTTTTATTTATTTATTTTTTTAAATTTTACGTACTGTGAAATCATGTAATTCTTGTGTTTCTATACCTAGTTTATTTAACTTAACATAATAGTGTCCTGTTCCATTCTTATTATTGCAAATGACAAAAATCACAGGATTCCATTCTTTTTGATAGCTAAATAACAATAGCATTCCAGTGTATATTTTTGTTTGTTTGTTTGTTTGTTTGTTTTTGTATTTGAGACAGAATCTCTTTGTGTAGCCCTGGCTATCTTGTGTAACTCCCTCTGTAGGGTGATACCTCATTATTGTTTTGGCTTGCATTTCGTGGATATTTAGGGATCTTGTACAACTTTATTTTTTATTTTATTGTATTTATATGTCTATGAGTGGGTATGTGAATATGTGCCACTGCCTATAGACCATGAGGAATCAGGTCCTTGTGGAACTATAGTTAGGTCCAGTTGTGAGTTGCCTGATGTGGGTGCTGGGAATCCCACTTGGCTGTTTATAGAGTGTAGGTTATTTATACTGGGATACAAATTTATATTGTGTTTTAAATGGGAAGTTTTTAGAAAAATAGTAACAACAATACTCTTTACTTTTGTAGCCTATGGACCAGCTCTTATTGAGCACTGTCTTATAGAAAATGGATTCTCTGGCAATGTCAAAGTGGATGAAAAACTTGAAAGCAAAGGTATGTCTTCATGGTCCAGACTTTGTACATTTTCTTGTTTCCTTTTATCTTTGATCTTTTTCATGCTACTAAGGTCCCACACGTGTTAGAAAAATATACTGCTGATAAACACCTTTTTTTTTTTGGAAATAAGGTTTCTCCTACATTATAGTGCAGTGTCATCTTGAACTCTGAGTCTTCCTGCCTCAATCTCTTGGCTGCTGCGAGTATCTGTGTCTGCTAGCACACATAGCTCTTCCTTCTTTCTTTTCTTTCCTTTTTAATGTGTATGGGTTTTGCTTCCTGTGTATCTGTTTGCTACATGCTTGCCTGGTGCCCTGGAAGGCCAGAAGAAGGTGTCATATCTCCTGGGACTGGATTTACAACCCATGTGAGCCACTGTAGTAGCTGCTGGGAATTGGATTTGTGTCCTCTGGAAGAACAGCCAGTGATCTTAAGTGCAGAGGCATTTCTTTAATCTTTGGCCCTTGTTTCTTTACTACAAATAATTTAACTTTTTAAAGTTGTAAGTAAATGGCTAACTCCAAATTTACAAAACTTTGGTCTGGGATTGGCAAGATGGGAAACAAGTAAAGTGAAGCCTGCAGACTGCAGACCTTAAGTTTGGTCTCCAGGATCTACATGTGGGAAGGAAAGAACCAGTTCCAGCTCTCTATTTGTCTTCTGTCTTCCACAGTTGAGCCCTATCCCTGTCACTCTGTGTGTGTGTGTGTGTGTGTGTGTGTGTGTGTGTGTGTATAGGAAGACAAATAATGGTGGTTCATACTTATAATCTCAGTGCTAAGAGTGGATTTTGGTGAGTTTGAGCACAGTCTAGGCTACATAGTGAGTCCCTGCATGAAAAAAAATTTTTTTAAATAAAAAAATAAATAAACAAAAATTTGATCAGAATATCCCTCCATGTATGGGTTTTCCTCCACTGGGTCTTTCTCCAGTGTGAACATTTATCCCTATTAATAAGCACTTTAGTCTTTTTACCTTCATACCTTTGGACTTTGGAACTTATCTTTTCATGCCCTTTAGTTTTTGCACTGAGATTGGGATAGTAGATGTCTTGATTAGTTGGATTACTAGCCTTGTGACTTAAAGCACAGGGTCCATCATACGTTTGAATTTCTATAGGCTGCATGATAAAATTAGGCTCCAGTAATTACTTGTAGAGCTAACTTATCAGAATAAGATAAATAAGAATGTAGGGCCATTGGAGATGGCCAGTGGAAGGGTAATTGCTCCCAAGCCTGATGACCTGTGTTTGATCCCAAGATCAGATTGACTCCCACAAACTGTCCACTAATCCCTACATGCACACTGAGACATGTACACAAACACAATTAAAAAAAAATTATTATTGGCTGTTATTTTAAAAGAAATTTAAAAAGTTAAGAAAATGTAAAAGAAAGATTTATTCTTGGAAAAATTATGACCTGTATGACCTTGTATGATGTTTGAAACACTCCTAGTGTTTGTGTTTGAGGATTATTTAACACTTTCATTTTAAAACGAGATTTTGTTTCATTAAAAGTACACATCAGTGCCAGGTTGTGGTGGTGCATGCCTTTAATCCCAGCACTTGGGAGGCAGAGAGAGGTAAGGAGTCTCTGTAAGTTCGAGGCCAGCCTGGTCTACAAAAGAAGTTTTAGAACAGCTAGGTATGTTACACAGAGAAACCCTGTCTTGAAAAAACAAACACAAAAACAAAATACAAACAAAATGTTTTCTGAAATATAATAATGTATCCTCTTTGTCCCTAGTGGCAACAGATGGTGGTGGTATTTTTTTTTTTTCTTTCTTTCTTTTTTTTTTTAATTAACAGGATACTCATGGGACAAAAACATGGATGGAAAAATGTTTGGGACAACTCTGATTACTTAATGTTAGATATATAACCTTTTCACAGGTTGCATTGTATTATGAGGCTGTAGTAATTAAATAGTAACTTTTTTGGAGAAGAAATTTACAAAGCACTCAGGAATAAATATATGTAGAAATTAGGTTTATGAATAAAGAATCCTTTTTGTAAGAAAGGTGGATGATTTAGAATTGACTGACCAAAAAATAATCATATATGATATGTATATATCGTACATATATACCAATTATTCAAATGAAAGGTCTTTATCATTTTATTTATTTCATAAATACTTTATCTGTTTTTTTTTTTTTTATTTTTAAAACTTTGTATATGTGTGTGCACGCACGTGAGCATGTGTGTGCCTGATATGTATTAGGGAGCAAGACATCTCAGCATGTGTATAGAGATCTAAGACTACTTTGTGGAGTCTATTCTCTTTGTACCTTTATGTTGGGTTCTGGGGGATGAATTCATGTCTCTAGGCTTGTGCAGCAAGCACCTTTACCTATTGAGCAATCTCATTGGCCAGTTTTTTTTGTTTTTATTATTAATTACTGTGTGTGTGTGTGTGTGTGTGTGTGTTCTCAGAGGACAACTTGTTAGGAGTTGGTCTTCCTTCCATTTCCTGGAGACCTGGCAGCATCCCAGTTTTTGTTTTTGTTTTGTTTGTTTGTTTTTTGATAGGGTCTTACTATATTTGGCCCTAGCTGACCTTGAATTCATGTTGTCCTATCTCAGCCTCCTTAGTGCTGGCATTAGAGGCCTGTACTACCATACTCATACCTGGAACTCACTTTGTAGACCAGGCTGGCCTCAAACTCACAGATCATCTGCCTGCCTCTGCCTTCTGAGTGCTGGGATTAATAGCATACGCACCACCACCCGGCATACATACTTATTTAATGATGATTAATCAACTTGATTGGCATTCCTTTTCCCCTTGTTTTTATTTCTCCATTAGATATTGAAAAAGTACTGGTTTGTGTGCAGAAGGCAGAAGAATATATGAAAGAAACATCCAACTTCAATGGAAAGGTAGCAGCATCATGTAAATAGTTACTTTGTGTTGTTTACATGTATCTATTTATTGGGGGAGGTACCATAGCATTCCAGAGGTTAGACAACCTGCAGGAGTGGACTACTTTCCTTTATTGTGTAGGTCCTAGAGATCCAACTCAGGTTCATCAGTCTTGGTGACAGACACCTTTACTCATTGATCATCTCACCAGCCTTGTATTGTATTGATCTTATTTGAATTTTTAGAAACAAAATATCTTTTATCTACTTATTGTTGTAACTTAAGTTTTGTTTTTCTTATATGAGCTTGAACCCAAGGCTTTGTACATACAAATTCTACTATACCATTGAACTTTATACCTAATTCTAGGGTAATCTCTTTATTTTTGTATTGCTTCTTGTAAATTGTTTTTTTTTTTTTTTCCCCTGTCCTTTTTCTTTTATAGAAAATACCATGTTGGGGCTCAAGATAAATCTCAATTGATAAGACTCTTGCCTAGAGTTCACTTGTTCCTGGGTTTGGTCCCCACCACTGTATAAATTAGGCACTATGAATGCCTGCCTATATTCTCAACACTTGATAAGTAGAGGCAGGAGTTCAAGGACATTCTTGTCTGCATAGCAAGTTCAAAGCCAACCAGAGCTAAACAAGACCCCACTTGCAAAAACAAAGATGCAAAACTCACAAAAAGCAATACCAGTTAAGGAATTTGTGTAAAAGAAAGAGAAGTTTGACTTTCTAAAAGGTTTTTAATTATGTATATGCACATATGCATATGTGAGTGCATGCCACATATCTGACCCTGGGAGCAAAGGAAGGTGTCAGTCCCTTGGAACTAGAGCCTCCTATTGTAGGTGCTGGGAACCAAACTTGGGTCCTCTGGAAAAGCAACAAGCAGTCTTAACTGTTGAACTATTACACCAGCCAGTTTTTCTTTCTTTGATACAAAGTCTTGCTGTGAAGCCCAGCATGGCCTTAGTACTCAAGATTTTCCTCATCAGCCTCTCAAGTACTAGGTTTATAGGCAGGTATCACTATATCTGGATAAAATGTTTGATCTTGAATTGATTTTTAGAGAAGCTTTCTTTAATTTGCCATCAGTTAAAACAAACAAAACAAAAAAGGTGGCTTAAGGTCTCCTCATAGTTAGTTAGAAAATTACCTCATACTTTAATATTTTTCCTTCATTTCTAAAATGTACCGTTAATTAGAAAAAATAACAGTCAATATGTCAACTTTTTGTTAATTGTGACTATAGATGAGTCTAGTATTAGTTAGCTTTTGTTTTTTTGTTTTGTTTTGTTTTTGTTTTTGTAGGGCTATATAATCCAGAAAAGAGAAGCAAAACCAAGCTTGGATGCAGATAAACCGGCTGAAGACATACTAACGTGAGTGTGTAGCCATGGGTCAGATTGCTTTGTATGCTAATCAGTATTCTTAATTGTGATATAATAAATATGTTTTTACAGGTATGAGGAATTTCATCCTTTCTTGTTTTCTCAACATTTACAATGTCCATATATAGAATTTGAATCGTTTGACAAGGTGGGTTTTCTAGGTCTGTTTTGTGCTAGTTAATACAACATGAGTTGTAAGAATTGTTATGCCGCCTTGGATTTGGGGTGTAACCCATTATGAGTGCATGCACCAAGCCCTGGATTTAAGCCTCAACACTGGAAAAAAGAAATGTAGAAAATATTCATGCCTTTCAATCAGTGTGAATCTGGGGATTGATTAAAAATCAATGCAATCACAGATACAACTGTTAAAAACAGTTGTTGCCATTTTTATATAAAGATTAAATATTTGACCTTGTTTTATTCTTGACATTGTTAGCTGCATCATTGGAAATGTGGTCAGATCCAATGAGGTCACTACAGTATAAAACAGGCTAACACTCTGTGTGTGTGTGTGTGTGTGTGTGTGTGTGTGTGTGTGTGTGTGTGTGTGTGTGTGTGTGTGTTGAAGTAGAGACCATGCTTTTTTTCTCTGTACTTACAGCCATTGTTTGTCTTTTTTTTTTTTTTTTTTAAATAAGGCTGTGGATGAATTTTATTCCAAGATAGAAGGTCAGAAAATTGATTTAAAAGCTTTACAACAGGTATAGTATTATTTAAAATATTTATATTAGACTAGCTAGTCAGAGTGGTTTGGAGGTAAATATGTTTTCGTTTAAGAATAAGTTGCCTTCTAGACCTGTGGGACATTATGTGTGAGTTCTCAGATCAGATCCCCTGGAACTGGAGCTACAGATGTTATGAACCATTATGTGGGTGCTGAGAACTGAATAGTCCTCTGGAAGAGCAGTAAGTGCTCTTAACTACTGAACATCTCTCCTGCCCAAGTGTTTTGTTTTTGAGATAGGGACTCATTGCAATCCTGGCTAGTCTTGACACTTGATATTTAGATCAAGTTGACCAAAAACTTGGGAGATCTGGGATTGAAGGTGTATGCCACCATGACCTGCCCTTCTCTTACTTTATTGTAAAAGCCCAGAGGAGTCTTATTGACTCCTCCCGCTTTTATTCCATTTTCAGATCTTCCTAAAGGAAATGCAATCTAGTGGGAACATTAGCCTATTATATACCATAGTATGACTCAATGTATTTGAAGCAATTCAGAGCTTCTCAAACCTAAACATTATGAGACTACATTATAAGGAACATGTTACATGGGCCAGAGGAAAAAAATTATTTTCTGTGCTGTTTCTTTATTGTAAACTGTGTTGCTTTTCTTAAGCTGCTTTAAAGCTAGGTCCTTGTCTGTTCTGTGTGATGATTCCTCAAAGAGGATTTAATAGGCACCATTTTTGCAGCATATTTGACCATGACTTTAGAGCATGTGCTACAGATCTGTTTCTTTCTTTTTTTTTCTCTAATTTTTTTTATTTTTCTCTGATACAATATATCCCAAAGTAACTTTTAATTTGGAAGAGATTTGATTTTTTTTTTTTTTTTTCAAAAATATTAGCCATAGGGCCTCAACCCTAGATAAAGAACCGTGGCAGCTATGGAATACCGAGAATGGGAGAAAGGGTCTTCCCCAGGGATAGCCCCTGAATTGGGGTCCAATACCAGGGGGGCAGCAGTGAGATCATAACCATACCGGCAGTATTATGTGGACTGCACAGGTTGTATTTTTGTATTTGACATGGGGGTGAGGGGAGTGTGTTCAACAGTAATTGAAGAAAGTCTGTGAGTTTGGGAAAGAGTAAAGGGGTGCATAGGAGGGGTGGGAGGGAAAGGGGAAATGATGTAGCTTCAAAATAAAAGGTTGTTATTAGAAAAGAGTTAAGAGGTTGGAATGATGGCTAAGAGGTTAAGGGCACAAAGACAGTTGCACAAAATTTCAAGATACATGGATACTTATATATAGTCTTCCCTTTTCTTTTAAAATAGGAGAGTTTCCAAGCATGTAGTTCAATAAATTGCATCATGTGATTGTCACATGATGATGGCACTTTGGCTAGAGAACAGATGTTTAACAAGAATAGTCATTATCAATATTGTTATAATTTTTTTTAACTTTTTGAGACAGGGTCTTTACATAGCTCTGGCTGTCCTGAAACTCACAGGTCTCTGCCTCATAAGTGCTGGGATTAAAGGCATGCACAGCAGTACTCATTATTTTAATTGTTTAAATATGTAGACCTATATATTTTATAGGTATGAATATTTTGCCTGCATGTATATACATATGTTGCATACCTATGCCCACTGCAGTAGGGCACCAATTTAATTTTATATGCAGTTAGATCAATACAATGATATTGAAAGAGTTTCAGATACATATATTAGGGCTGCACAGCTGGTTGTGTATATACAAGTATTCCAAAATTCAAAACATCTCCATCATATGAAGTATTTCTGGTATCAAACACTTAGTTTAAGGATACTCAAACTATACCAAAAGCTTTTTGTGATAATCATTACTCTTATAAATTAAATCTTTTAGGTATTTTATCCAACATTTAAGTAATAATTAATTGGTGATGCTATAAAGCATTAAAAAACAGTCTTCAGTAATTTTGAAATGTAAGTCAGGCATTGTGGTATATGCCTGTAATCCCTGCTGGTGAGAAATGGCAGCAGGAGATCAGGAATTAAGCTAGTGAGTTTGAGGCCAGCCTTGTCTGCTACATATGAGACCCTGTCCCAACAAACAAAACAAACTCTGAAGTGTAAATTATGTCTGATAAAATGCTATACAGGAAATCAGATAACTTCTCTGAACCTTTGTATCATGTGAGTGAAAGATGTTGTGAAAAATACTGGAACTAAATGTCAATAAGCTGATAATTTGTGCCTTTAAAAAGTTGATTTTAGCAGGGTGGTGGAGGCACATGTTCTTAATCCCAGCACTGGGGAGGCAGAGGCAGGCAGATCTCAGTGAGTGAGGCCAGCCTGTTCTACAGAGTGGATTCCAGGACAGCCAGGGCTACATAATGAGACACTGTCTTGAAGAAAGAAAAGACATATTCATTTTATGTGTGTTTTGCCTACATGTATGTGTACCACATGTGTGCCTGCTGCCCATGAACGTCAAAAGAGGGTATCAGACACCTTGGAACTGGAGTTACAGATAGTTGTGAGTCACCATATAGATTCAGGGAACCACCCCTGGGTCCTCTGGAAGAACAGCAAGTATTCTTAATCACTGAGCCATCTCTCCAGCCCCAGTTTATACTTTTAAAGAACTCACTGGCAGGCTAGAGAGATGGGTCAGTGGTTAAGAATGCATAATGCACATCCAGAGGACCCGAGTTTGGTTCTCAGCACCCATGCTGAGAGACTCACAACTTCCTGTAACTCCAGTGCTAGGGAATTGGAAGCCTCTTCTGAACTTGTAGGTGCTGCACCCACATACAGAAATCCACACATATGCACACATAAATGAAAGTAAAATCTTTAAATACACATTTTACATAAGAATTTGGCTAGTTGGATGATTAAAAAAAAAAAAAAGAATTTGACTGGGCGGCACTGGTGCATGCTTTAATCCCAGCACTCCAAAGACAAATGTGAGTTTGTGGCTGCCTGGTCTACAGAGTGAGTTTGATCTCTAATGCTACATAAGAAGGAAAAACTTATATACCATAAGAAATCTTGAATTTTGCCTGTTTGGATAATGCCAAGAGAAATGGGGTCATGCTTTATATATAGTTTGCTTGTAACCAAAGTGCACATTCTATACAGGGACTGGGAGTTAGAGAAGTAATCTTTCAACGTGATGTTTTTAGAGGGTAAGGCTTGAGGGAGTGAACTAAGGGGTAACTTTGCTTTTTAGTTTTTTAAGATAGGGTTTTTCTGTGTAGTGCTGACTGTTCTGGAACTCAAGAGATCCGCCTGCCTCTACCTCCCGAGTGCTGGGATTAAAGGTGTGTGTCACCATCGCCCAGCTTGTGGGGAAACTTTAGGCGCCTGTGTGACACCACTGACAGGTAGAGGAACCATCAGGTCAATAGGTTTTAGGAAATGAGAGGTAGAAGTGTTGTGCATTGAAATAAATCTAACTTTTGAAAATTCTGTTTTGTTATTGGAAGGAAAAACAAGCACTGAAGAAATTAGATAATGTTCGGAAGGATCATGAAAACAGATTAGAAGCTCTTCAGCAGGCTCAGGTATTATGCCTAGTTTTTCTGGTTATTTCCAACCATGAGAATCTCAGCTGGCATTATAGTAAATACATTTGGTTTTGTTTCTTAAGGAAATAGACAAACTGAAAGGAGAACTCATAGAGATGAACCTGCAGATAGTCGACAGAGCCATTCAGGTAGTCCGCAGTGCACTAGCCAACCAGATAGACTGGACAGAAATTGGCGTGATTGTGAAAGAAGCTCAAGCTCAAGGAGACCCTGTGGCAACTGCAATCAAAGAACTAAAACTGCAAACAAACCATGTTACAATGCTGCTACGGTAAGTGTGGGCCTTACCAGTTAGTGCTTGCTTTGTTTTGTTAATTATTCATTGTATTCTCAAGTTTTCTTTGGGAATTCTCAGAAATAGAAAATGTATAATTAAATCATTTCTAATTTTATTGAGGAAAATTTTAAATGAAAAGTGATGTCATTGACATTAGTGAAATACTATTGAATATTTTTAATAGAAATCCATACTTGTTATCAGAGGAGGAAGATGATGATGGTGATGCCAATATTGAGAACAGTGATGTTGAACCACCAAAAGGGAAAAAGAAAAAGCAAAAGAACAAGCAGCCGCAGAAGCCTCAGAAAAACAAGCCTCTGCTTGTCGATGTGGATCTCAGCCTGTCAGCCTATGCCAATGCCAAAAAGTAAGCCACTTAACTATTAATTCTGTTTAGCTTTTATTTCATATGTATGAGTATTTCACTTGCATTTGTTATGTGTACCAGTGTCTGCCAGAAAAGGTTATCAGGTTCCCTGGAACTGGAGTTACAGATGTTTGTGAGCCGCAGTATGAATGATAGGAACCAAACAGGGTCCTCTGGAAGAGCGGCCAGTTCTCTTATTGATGATTCATATCTCTATCCGCCAACTATAAATTCTTGGTAAAATATTACCTGTGGTAAATCACTAGGATATTAATAACAGGTATCATTTTGTCTGTTTATGAGAGACTTCCCCTGGGGAAATGAAACACAACACACACATATGTCTATTGACCCCAGAAAAAGGAATCTACAATAGACCAGAGTCTCTCATACACACACACACACACACACACACATCTTTTCACCCTAGAAAGGGAATCTACAACAGATCAAAGTAACAGTTGTACTGAAGTCTAACTTGCTGAACCAGTGAATTTTTATTGAGGTTACTGACTAGAGTATGAGTGAGAGCTTACTTATAGGAGCAAGGTTAACACAGTTGCGCCTGTGAAAAGCCCACCTCAGCAAAGGTGATGCCCCAGGAAAGCTGTGCATCTGGAGCCCTGTGCCCAAGTTAGAGACACCTCAACAAATCCAAGGGATCTCTCGCAGTTCAGCTGGAAGTCTACTCCTCTAACCTGAAGGAAATCCTCATGAGCCTTACTGCAGGCCACAGTAAAGTGTGTTTACTTATTGGGTCTCTCACCAACCCAGTCCTGGAAGGGAATGTTTCAGTTTGTAGGAAATTGCTACAGAACACATTTATATACTTCTTTTGGTAAAAATTGTGTGCTCTATTCAACTTGGTTTTATATAATCTGGGACTATAGAATTAAAAATAAAAACTAAGAAAAGATTTTACTTAATATTTAATATAGATTTATTTTTCTAGATACTATGATCATAAGAGGTATGCTGCTAAGAAAACACAGAGGACTGTAGAAGCTGCTGAGAAGGTAACTTGATAGAATGTTTTTTTTTTTTTCTGCAGCTTTAATGACTTTCTGTTTAAGTGGGGCTTTCTAATTTAGAAATCTCTTTTGGTTATAATTTTGCTTTAAATGTGCATATTTCCCATGTTTACTTTCTTCCCCAATTCTGCACTTCCCTCTTTATTCCTCATCTCAGCAAGTAGCTTTTCATTCTTATCTGCTTAAATGTGAAAGGTATCCAGAACTCTTTCCTCATACAAACTGTCATTTACTATTGTTAGTATGTGTGTGCTTATATCTCAGGGAACATGTAGGCTTTTCTCCTACATTTAGGTGGGCTCCAGAGAGCAAACTCAAGTTACCAGGCTTTGGATCAAGTGGGCTTATTTTTGTTTGTTTAGGTTTTTGTTTGTTTGTTGAGGATTTCTCTGTGTTAAAGCCCTGGCTATCCTGGAACTCACTTTGTAGACCAGGCTGACCTTGAACTCACAGAGATATGCCTGCCTCTGCCTCCCAGTGCTGGGATCAAAGGCATACACCACCACCACCAGTCTGGATCAAGTGTTTTTTTTTTACCCCCTGGGCCATCTTGCCAGTCCCACATTTTTATTTATTGATTGATTGTTTTTCAATTTAATGTATAACCAGAACCTACTGGATACTGTATCACTTGACTGTAATTTTAGTACTTGGGAAGTAAAGGCAGAATGTTTATGAGTTCAGGGTCATTCTAAGCTGAATAGTGAGTTTGAGACTAGCCTTTGACATGTCTCTCTCTCTCTGTGTCTGTCTCTCTCTCTCTCTCTCACTCACTCTCTCCCCCTCTCTCTCTGTGTGTCGTCTGTCTCTCTCTCTCTCACACACATACATACACACACACAGTATTAGCAGAATTTGACCACATTTCTCTTCTCCTTAGGTTTAGTCCTTGATAACCCACTGCTTTCTGTTCTTAGTTTAGCAACCATAGTGATACTTTTAAACCACAAACTAACTCCATCATTCTTTCCTCCATTAAAAGCTTCCAGTTTCATCCCATCTTATTACAGTTCAGAGCTGTTTTCCTGGCTATAGAACCCTGTATGACCTGTTTCCTTTTTACCTCACCATCCCATACTCTTTCTGGCTACACTGGAATCCTAACTGTTCCTGAAACTGTAGTGCACTGCTGTTCTTAGGATCCTTGCACTTACTAGTTTTTCTAGGTGAAATGATCTACCCTCAGATTTTCAAGTTTCTTTGCCTCCTTTTGTTCATTTATATAATCTGCTTAAGTGAGACATCAGAGAAGCCTTTGTTGACCATTTCTACTAAAAATAATGCAACCCTAGCACTTGCATATGTTTTTGTTCAGCTGGTGGACAAACGCAGATTAGATCAGTGCAAAAATAAATCCTCTTTTGCAACCCAGAACTCATTGTCAGTATGAGTTTTGATACATATAAGAAGGAATATAATAAGACAGCATAAAGGAATTATGGTATTGAGTTTTGTTCTATAATTTAAAGGCATAGGTAATAAAACAAAACAAATAATACAACCCTAAATCTACTCTACTGTTTTTCTTAACTCCTTGAGTGACATAAAATTATTTGAAGCCAGGAATGGTGGCACACACCTTTGGTCCCATCACTAGGAGGCAGAAGCAGGCAGATCTCTATGAGTTTGAGGCCAGCCTGGTCTACAGAGCGAGTTCCAGGACAGCCTCCAAAACTACAGAGAACCCCTATCTTGAAAAAAATTATTTGAGTATTTGTGTATTTATCCTTTAAAATATAAGCAGGCCCATAAAAGTATAATTGTTGCCAGATGTAGTATAACACACCTTTAATCCCAGCACTGGCAAGTGGAGCTCTGTGAATTCAAAGCCTCCCTGGTTGGTCTACAGAGTGAGGTTTCTATGATGAGTTCCAGGCTATCCAGAGCTACATAGTAAAACAACAATAACAGCAAACAAGAACAATAACAACAAAAATTATCATTGCTGTTTTGTTCATTGTTGCATTCTAGTCTCTTAAGATTGTCTAAAACAAAGTAGAGACTTTAATTTCTGTTAAATGAGTAACTTAATTAATCTAGTCTCTATAATCCAGGCTGGTCTCACACTTGCATATCTAGGCCAGCCTCAAACTCTGGATCTTCTTGCCTCTGTCTCTCAGATGTTGGGGTTATGGGAGTATACTACCATTCTTAATTTGTTCTTAATTTGTAGGTCTTAAAATTTTGAGTATAGTAGCTGGGCGGTAGTGGTGCTGGTGTACACCTTTGATCCCAGGACTGGAGAGGCAGAGGCAGGTGGATCTCTGTCAGTTCAAGACCAGCCTGGTCTATAAGAGCTGGTTCCACGACAGCCTCCAAAGCCACAGAGAAACCCAGTCTTGAAAAACAAAACAACTTGTATATTGTAAATATTTAATTCATTTTACTTCTTAGGTAAATATCTTTTATTTTTTCATTATATATATACTTGTGTGTATAAATCAAGATACTTTATGACAAAATCTTTTTTCTGTTATTACTTTGTACATAGTACACATGGAAATTAAGAGGGGATCAAACTCAGGTCAACAGGTTGGCAGCAGGTCCTTTACCCACTGAACTATCTCATGTGCTCATCAGAACATTGGTAGGGTATGCCTTTGATCCCAGCACTTGGGAGGCAGAGGAAGGCGGATCACTGTGAGTTCAGGGCCAGCCTGGTCTATAGAACTAGTTCCAGGATAGGCTCCAAAGCAATACAAAGAAACCCTGTCTGGAAAAACCAAAAAAAAAAAAAAAAAAGCTAGGTGTAGTTCATAAGGCTGAGATTGGAGAATCTTTGCGAGTTAGAGGCAATATAGTGAAAGCTATCTAAAGCAATGTGTTATGCCATTGTGTACTTTGATGTTATGTAAATATATCCTAAAAATGCTAAAACAATTTTTTTTAAATAAATAGGCGTTCAAGTCAGCAGAAAAGAAAACAAAGCAAACCTTAAAAGAAGTGCAAACAGTTACTTCTATCCAGAAGGCAAGAAAAGTATACTGGTAAGTGTTCTGCTCTTCTTAATGTAATGTTTAGTTTTTTCTCTTTATTGGAATTATATGTGTATATTATTTGAAAAGTCAAGCAGTTATACAGAGCTAGCTATAAAACCAGTAGGCCTGTTATTTATTCTTCATCCTTGTCCCATTGCCTGTTCTCCCAAGGAAACTGCTTTTTAGTTTTAGCTCTTTCTATTTATTTGCATGATCGTTTATTTATTGTGTGGGTGTGTAAAAGGGGAAACGTGCCATGGAGCACATATGGAGGTCAGAGGACAGCTTTTAGGAGTTGTTTCTCTCCACCATATGGGTCCTGGGAATTGAACTCAAGTGTGATGGCAAGTACATTTACCCCCGAGCCATATCTTTTAGCTCTTATAACTCTTTTAGGTCAGACTTGTATATACTCCTGTTTCTCTCTATAATAGCTTGTATTTCTACTTCATTGGGAAAGGGTGGTTTTTGTTTTTTGGTTTTTTTTTTTTTTTTTTTTTTTGTTTTGGTTGTTTGTTTTTTTTGAAACAGGGTTCCTCTGTGTAGTCATGACTGGCCTTGAACTCACAGAAATATGCCTACCTCTGTCTCCTGAGTACTGGGATTAAAGGTACACACACACACACACACACACACACACACACACACACACACACACACCACACACCACACACACACACCACACACACCACACACACACACACACACACACGCTTGTTTTTGATTTTGAGGTGAGGTCTCATTTTATTGCCTATGTTGGTCTTAAGCATCCAGGCTCAAGCAATCTTCCAGCCTCAGCCTCCTGAGTAGGTAGGCTCCAGGTGTATGGCCCTTCATTAGCTATCTAACATATCTCCCTACATCCTCATTGTGGCCTGCCTTTCAACACCAGGTCTCCAACCCTTGATCTTGGACTTCTTGGCAGGCTGCCTACAGCCTGAGCTTTAGCTTTAGCTCTGGCTCCTCAGTCATTCCAGCAGTTAATGCTTTGTGTGCAACTTGTCTGTGCCTTCTGCAGTATGTAGAGCTCACCCCCCCTTCCCTTCACAGCTTTCTCCCTTTAGAATTTCATGGATATAGGTTAGTGAAATATTTTAGTCTATTATTTTAGTCTATTATGCTGGATTCTTTCATGGATATAGGTTAGTGAAATATTTTAGTCTATTATTTTAGTCTATTATGCTGGATTCTTTGTGAGCCTTTCTAGTTTAGAAACTTAAGTCCTGAGACATTTTCTTGACAATTTCTTTTCTCCTTGTATATTTACAGTGTGTATGGGGAGGGGGTGTGGGGTTGCATTCCTGTTGAGATCAGAGGACAATTTGTGCAAATCTGTTCTCATCTTCAACTATGTAGGTATTAAACTCAAAGACAAATGTCTTTACCTACCTTGTCATCTTGCTGGTACACACACACACACACACACACACACACACACACACACACACACAGAGAGAGAGAGAGAGAGAGAGAGAGAGAGAGAGAGAGAGAGAGAGAGAGAGAGAGAGAGATTTCTCTTAATGTATTTTTTTTTTTCCCTGTGTTTTATATACAGAACCTTCTGGATGGGTCTTCCAGTTTTTTTGCATTTTTCCAATTTTCAACTCTTTGTTATTTTCTGTACATCCTTAGAGATGTTTTCAACTTTATCTTTCAGTCTTTCCACAGAATGTCTGTTTTGGTTTTTTTGAGACAGGGTTTCTCTATTGTTTTGGAGTCTGTCCTGGAACTAGCTCTGTAGACCAGGCTGGCCTCAAACTCACAGAGATCCGCCTGCCTCTGCCTCCCAAGTGCTGGGATCAAAGTTGTGCACCACCAACGCCCAGCCGAAGCTCTGATTTCTGTATTGTTGTTTGTTGATAGAGTCTTATTCTATAGCACAGGCTTCCTAAATTCGTTAGGTAGACCAGGATGGACTATAACTTAGAGCAATCCTCCTGCCTCTATATACCAAATACTGGGCCCCTATCAATTATATCGCCTCAAAGTGGTTAAATTTTATTTTATTGTATATATTTTAAAGTATACTACATGAAGTTTTTATATATTACATTCATAGTGAAATGATTATCACATCCGAGCATATCTGTCCACTGTAGGCTAAGTGTGGTGGTGCATGCCTGTAACCCCAACAGTTGGGAAACTGAGGCTAAAGATTTGTCATGAGTTCATGAACCAACTTGGACTAAAGAACAAGTAACTAGGCCAAATTATATACATGGTCTTCATATACATGGTCCAAGGAGAGGACTCTGCAAGTTGTTCTCTAACATTCACTTACATGTGCTCATATACACAGACACTAGATATATAAATATAATTTTAGAAAGAAGGTATAAAAGGGAAGTGTCTTATCTGTTATGTTCCATGAATACCAATTTTGTTGTTTGGTGATAATATTCTCAGCAAATTTCTAGTGTACAGGAAGTTAATTCTTTTCCTTTTCTCTCTGTCTTGACAAGGTCTCACTGTGCAGCCTTGGCTGTTCTAGAACTCACAGAGAGCCACCTACCTCTGCCTCCCCAGTGCTAGGATTAAAGGTGTGCACGACCACACCTGACATTACAATTCTAATTATTTATTATATTCTTTATGTTGTACATCAGATCTATAGATTTGTTCAGTCTGAATGATCTGAATGACTATAACTCTATAACCTTATTAAAGGTGTGCACGACCACACCTGACATTACAATTCTAATTATTTATTATATTCTTTATGTTGTACATCAGATCTATAGATTTGTTCAGTCTGAATGATCTGAATGACTATAACTCTATAACCTTAGAATTATATTTGCCCATGATCGTTCTTACCTACCCTTTTTTTTTTCCTGGAATCTCCAGTTTTCATAGTAGAGACATTCATTAGTATCTGGTGCCCCTTGTTTGTCACTCAACATTTCAGAGTAGGGTATTAAAATGCTAATGAGATGTTCTCTGAATGGTTGGGCTTGTGATGTGATGTGTTACCTGTTTTGTGTAGAACTCTTTAGTTTTTTTGTCCTTTTTTTGTGGTCTCACCTTGCAAAACTTTTTTTTTTTTTTTTTTCCTGTCCTGCTTGTAAGGTGAAGACTTGGCTGTCACAATCTAAGGAGCGCAGTGGGAACAATACATGGTAGGGGGTGGTAGCATTCATTATGTTAGACCTTTATTGCTTCTGTTTTATTTCTGCTTAATTTGTTCTGTATGCCACCTTGACTTCTGTTGACATGAGAAAAGTGGACTACATTTTAGAGCTGGAAGATAGAAAACTATTGGAGCAGACTTTTTGCCAGTCCTGTTTTTAACCCCATCTTAAAACTATTTCTTTAAATTGCCATCTTTTCTTTGTTTTGAGACAGGGTTTCCCTGTGTAACCCAGACCAGCCTTGAACTTGTGATCCTTTTGACCTGGCCTTTAAAAATTTGTACTACCACATCTCATTTATGTTGATGCTTTTGAGTTTTATATTGTAAAAGGAGTTGTTTTCCTGGGTTCTAGTGTCATTGTAGGATTCAGTTTCCTGAGTATAACATGCTTGTTTCTCATTTATCAAGTTTTTGTTGTATTCTTTGTTTTCCTTTTTTTTCTGCTTTGATTACATTTGACACCTCTAAATTGATCAGATTGACATATATATGTATGTGTATATACACAGATATATGTATGTGTACATATATATATATATATTTTGTTTTTGTTTTTTGTAGTGTTTTTCTCAGGTAGTCATATCAAGGTTGTGGTGCCTTATAAAACAATCTAGAAATGTTCTTTTTTGAGTTGTCTTTAAATGTGGATCAATTTTATCTATAAAATGAAGTAGTCCTGAAATTTTCCTTATGGGGAAGTGTTTCAGAAGCCTGGTGTGGTGATGCACACCTTTAATCCCAGCACTTAAGTGGATTTGTGAGTTAGAGGACAGCCTGGTCTATAGAGTAAGTTCTAGGTAGACAGGGAGACACAGAGAAACCCTGTGTGTGGGGGGGTGTTCTATTACAAATTTGGATTTATTTCTTATGTATTTATTTTTAGACAAGGTGAGTATGTCTATCTTTGGCTGATGTGGAACTCACTGTGTAAGCCAGACTGGCCGTGAACTTGGAATTTCCCTGCTACAACCTCCCGAATACTCTGTGTTATAGACCTGCATCGCCCCACTATGCCTGGCCTTCTGTATAGAATTTTACTCTTTAGATTCTCTAGTTTTAGTCAGCAGTGTTTTTCTTGGAAAGTTTATAATTGTACTTAGGAACTTTATATAATATGGATTTGTCCGTTTCTCCTTTCCTGCTGCTTTTGCTTTATGTGAGGCAATGATTGATACAGATGTAGAACTCCTAATGTAGTTGGGCTTCTTTTCATTAGTGTGTGCATGCTCTGTTTCTTTTGTATCTTTATTTCAATAATTCCATAACTTACAGTTTTACACACATACACACAAGTGTACACGCGCACACTCACACCATTATTACTATTTTCTGGCCTGATAGTTTTCTATGTTTACTCGGGGGGAGTTACTATATTTGTGCCACATGTAACTTATTATTATTTGAAGCTTACACGTACCCATCTTGCTATTTGCTTTTTGTCCCTTCCTTATTTTACTTGGTGCATTGGCTAGTTTTTACTTGTTTCTGTATTAGTTGCTTTTCTGATTGTTGTGACAAAATACCAAGAAAAAGCAACTTAAGAAAGGATGTATTATGGCTCATAGATACAGACCTGCATGCTGAGGAGGGAACATAGCAATGGAGGCATGGTGGTGGGGGCAGCTGGTCACATTGTATCCAGAGCAGAGAGACGAATTCAAAGTGTTCATCTCAACTTCCTCCTTTTATTAGTGCAGAAGCCCAGCCCATGGGATGGTGCTACCTTTACTCAGTGTGGGCCTTCCCTTGGCAATTAACCCTCTCAGAAACACTCTCGGTTATACTTGAAGTGTGTTTCCTTGGTGATTCTGAATTCACTCAAGTTGACAAGTAAGATTAACTCATAGATTCTTAGTTATATCTTCCTCATTAGATGTGTATTTTTTTGTAATAATTTTTTTTATGTGTTTTGCCTGTATGTATGTCTATGAGAGGGTGGTAGATCCTGGAGTTGCAGACAGTTGTGAGCCGCCATGTGGGTACTGGGAATTCAACCTGGGTCCTGTGGAAGAACAGTCAGTGTGCTTAACCAATGAGCCATGTCTCCCGCCCCCAAGTGTGTATTCTTTTACTAGACTGACTGTAGGATATGTATTTTATCTCTCCCACTCTGCTTGCTTGTACTTGTTTTTCTACAGATTTCTTTTCTGACAAGTCAGAAAACTAAAGAGTTAAAGTCATTCAGCAGGGATATTTTTTGCATGAAAAAAGAAAGGAATGCAGAACATTGTATATTGTGCCTGAAAAATGACAAAGCTGGAGTAAATGTTTTAGCTTCTTTGTGCATAAAGAAATTGGAGTTCTGTATGTAGGAGCTAACCACAGTGCCTAACTGAAGAGAGGCACCATGCCTTTTTGTAAACCTTTTTTTTTTTTTTTTTTTTTTTTTTTTTTTTACCAGATTGGAGTGTAATACCAGCACTCAGGAGGCAGAAGCAGGCATGTCTCCTTGACTTTAAGGCCTGCCTGGTCAACATAATGAGACTTGGTCTCAAAAACACCACCATCAACAACAACACAATAAGATTAGGGGCATGGGATGTAATTATTAGCTAAAGTAGTTTCCTGGCATGGCCAGGATTGTATCATTGGCAATGCTAAAATCATACAAACAAAAATACTATGAACTAGGCATGGTATCATATTTCTGTAATCCTGATACTTATGAAGTTCAGGCAGGTTGATCATAAGTTCAGGACTAGTCTGAACTACTCCATGTCTCCAAAACAAAAAAAAAAAAAAAAAAAAAAAAAGAACAGGAGATAAGCATTTGACTAGTATCCAAGTCCTAGACATTTGTTAACAAATGAGTCAAAATTAACTCAAGTTCTATCTCCAGCGCCAAATAAGTAAATAAATCAGAAAAATAAAATCTTTTCCTATTGTATTTTGAGGAGTATGATAACTTATTGTTTGATATCTATATGCCATATTTGAAATGGAAGTTTTAAGTAGTTGATTGACTTATATAGAAGATATAGCAGATTTTTACTTTTATTGTCTGACATTTTCTAAATGTCATATAAACATACACTGTTATACTTTCTTCTGTTTAATTTTATCTTGTAAGTGTACATGTATGTCTGTGCTCTACTTGTGTCCAGAAGAGAGTGTCATATACCCTGGTACTGGAGTTACGTATGGTTGTGAGTTGCCATATTCATGCTGAGAATCAAACCCAGGTTCTCTGGAAGAGCAGCAAATGCTCTTAACCATGGAGCCATCTCTCCATCCTCTTACTCTTTCTATCCTGATAATAAATTAATGAGAACCCTAGTTACTTTGTCTTTTGAGAAAAGCTATATCATATTCTGTTGAAATGGAGGGCTGTGTCAAAGGGAATGATGAAACAGAATGGTTTCGGGTTTCTGTTGCTATGAAGAGCCACTGTGACCATGGCAAGTCTTATAAGGAAAACTTTTAATTGGTGGTTTACAGTTTTAGATGCTCAGCCCATTATCATGGAGAGGAACATGGTGGTGTGCAGGCAGACATGGTAATGGGTACATCTTGACCAGAAGGCAACAGGATGCAGACTGAAGCTCTAGGCATGGCTTGGGCATAATGAAACCTCAAAACCCACCCCCACAGTACATATTTCCTCCAACAAGGCCATACCTACTCCTAAAATGCCACACCTCCAAATTGTGCCACTCCCTGTGAGTTCATGGGGGCCAATTACATTCAAGCTTCCACACAGGATTTCTCTACATAGCCCAGACAGGCCTTGCACTTTGATTCTCTTGGCTCACCCTCCTAAGTGCTGGGTTTACAAGTATCTCTCCCCTCACCTGGCACAATTTCTTTGCCAGTTGTCCAGAGCCTATTCAGTATCCCATTGAAAGAAAGCTGAGTCTTAGGCCATTTGATGTTTTGCACTTTTTATCTGTATAATTAACTCATTGTTATGCAATCCTTATGTTTAAGAATGCTTCCTGGTGCTGGAGAGATGGCTCAGAGGTTAAAGCACTAGCTGCTCTTCCAGAGGTTCTGAGGTCAATAACCAGATCTCACATGGCTCACAACCATCCATAATGAAATCTGGTGCTCTCTTCTGGCCTGAACGGATACATGCAGGAGGAACGACGTATACATAATAATAAATAAATTTCCAAAAAAAAAACAAAAGAATGTTTCTTATATAATTTGAGATAGATGGCTTAGTGACTAAGAGCACTTACTGTTCTTCCAGAAGAGAAGAATGGAGTAAAGTTCTCAGCACCCACATTGTGCAGCTAGCTTACAATCTTCTGTGACTCCAGCTCCAGAGGCTTCAATACCTTTTTGGACTCCCTGGGCACCTGCTTTCATGTGTATATATCTATATACAGATACACACATACAACATACACATATAATTAAAATTTTTTTAGGGAAATAAATAGAGCCGGACAGTAGTGGTTCACACTCTCAATCCCAGCACTCTGGAGGCAAAGGCAGACAGATCTCTTGAGTTTGAGGCCAGCCTGGTCTACAGAATAGGTTCCATGACAGGGAATCACAAAGAAACTCTGTCTTAGAGCTGGGCTTTGTGGCATAGGCCTTTAATCCCAGCACCTGGAAAGCTGAGGCAGGTGGATCTTTATGAGTTCAAGGCCAGCCTGGTCTACAAAGAGTTTCAGGACATCCAGAACTGTTATACAGAGAAAGCCTTTCTCAGAAAAGAAAAAAAAGGAAGGAAGGAAGAAAGAAAGAAGAGAAAAATTTTGTCTTGAAAACTAGAGGAAGAAATAAATAGAAATAACTTGGTTTGTGGCTTGTTATTTTTATGATAGGTTAATATAGCCTGGGCTACCCTTAAATCCAAAATGTAGTTGTGGCTGACCTTGAAAAACTCTTGATTCTCTGGCCTCTTTCAAGTGCTAGGAACATAGGTATGTTTCGCCCACCATACCTAGTGAGATAACTTTCTCATAGAATTTAGTTTGTTCTTCACCCCTCCCCCCCCCACCAAACTCCCAAGACAAGGTTTCAGTGTATTATGGGGCAGCACAGAACTCAGAGGTTCCCTTTCCTCTGCCTCCCCAGTACTGGAGTGTCACTATGCTCTGCCAGAATTCTAAGACTGCTATTAAAACAAAACAAACAAACAAAAAAAAATTTACAGGTTTTTTTTGTTGTTGTTGTTGTTGTTTGTTTTTAATTTTTGAAATTTTTGCTTGGTTCTTGAAAAGTAATTGTATTATTGGATTGTTGAAATCTTATTCTATACAAGCATGACAGATTCCTGTTTTGTTATATTTTGTTTTAAAAATGGTATGAATTCAAGCAGCTATAAAGAAAAAATATAAGGCTGGAGATGGCTCAGCAGTTAATAACACCGACTACACTTCAAGATGACCCAGGTTCAATTTGCAGAACCCACACGGCAACTAACAACTCTCTGTAACTTTAGTTCCAGAGGACCTAACACCCTCACACAGATATACATGCAGGCAAAACACCAATGAAATAAAAATAAGTATATTTTAAAAAGAAAAAAAAATTGTTAAAAAAAATCTTAATTCTATTTTCTCTCAATTCAATAGGTTTGAGAAATTTCTGTGGTTCATTAGCTCAGAGAACTATCTAATTATAGGTGGTCGAGATCAGCAACAGAATGAGATCATTGTGAAAAGATACTTGACACCAGGTAAGCTTAAAACCTATGACATTTTTTTCTTAAAACATTTATCAATTGTTTCGCTAATAGGCACTGGGTTTCATCTCATACTCTCATTTGACAGAACTAATTAGAGATTGATTTAATGCTGTGTGGCTTACAATTTGTTGAAGAAGTCTTTGCCATTTCTTGTTAAGTGGGTATTGCAAAGTAGTATTGATGAGTTAATCTGTGTTGTTGGGCTTTTGATCTTCTGGTGTATTTACATAATAGTTTACAGTTTTCCAAGTGATGGTGGATCAGACATTTTAAAGCTTAGTGTTTATGTGCTAAAGTTTTTGAACATGTGTCCAGTTTTCAAGCTGAGTGTATAGTACATGCTTATAGTTACAGCTGCTAGAGAGGCTATATCAAGAGGACCACTTGACCCCAGAAGTTCCAGAATAACCTATGTAGCATAAAGAGATCCTGTTTCAAAAACAGGAAAGAAGCAGTTACATATGCAGGCAGACCAATCATGAATATAAACTTTAAAATAAAGTAAAAATTTAGAAGAAGGTAAAACAAAAGCCAGTCAACAACAACAAAAAAAAAAAACAGGACCTAAAATATCATTTCCCATTTGTCTTTCTCTAAGGAGACATTTATGTACATGCTGATCTTCATGGAGCTACCAGTTGTGTGATTAAGAATCCAACAGGTAATATAACTCCTGTGTGCATGCCTCTGTGTGTTTATGTGTGAGAATATGCACATGTAATCCTTCATGCAGGTGCCCATTGTGTCCAGAAGAGAGTGTTGAATCTCCTGAGTAGAGTCACAGTCATAGAGACATAAACTAGTTGGGCTCTGGGGACTGGCCTCAGGTCCTCTGCATTCTTAACTGATAAGCCATCTCTTTGGCCTCCTGAAAACATTTTTAATGTTCCTGATAAAAAAGAACTAATACTCAGCTCCCAGTACTGCAAACAAAAAAGAGATGAAGAAAGATTATAATGATACAAGAACTGAATGAAGAGTCATAACATATGTGTCTGGCAATTGTGTCTTAAAATAATGAAAGGTAATGGGATGGGTAGACATGGGTACACACAGTGATATTTGGAAATATCGACACTGAACATGAATAGAACAATTAAACAGTAGATTAACAAGGAATAGAAGACTTGAATAGATTGATAACTAAACCTAACTATCTCTAACAACTATCCAGAGAACATTGTCTACATAGATCAGATGGTAGAAGAAACAGAAGATTGAAAGAAATTCATAACAAGTAAAGAGATTAAAACAATAAATAGAATTCCAGCTAGGCAATGTTGGTGTATGCCTCTAATTCTGGCAATCAGGCTTTAATTCTGGCAATCAGGAGGCAGAGGCAAGGTAGATTCTCTCGAGTTCAAGGCAAGCCTGATCTATAGCGCAAGTTCCAGGACAGCCAAGGCTACACAGAGAAACCTGTGTTGAAAAAGCAAAGCAAACAAAAAGATAAAAGAAAATCCCAGACTCAGATACCTTAATTGATGAATTATAGTAATCTTTTATTTAAAAACAAAACAACAACAACAAAAAAAAAAAAAAAAAAAAAAAAAACTAATGCTTCAAAAACTCTTCCTCCCAAATAAGAGAGGTGGGAATACTTCCTGATTTATTCTGTCAGCTGGTATTTCCTAGTAATAAAACCAGATAAGTACATCACTAGAAAAATAGCAACTTCATTTAGAGTACAGACACAGAAATCCTTGACAAGGTATGAATAGCCTGAATCTAGCAACATACTGAAAGGATTATATACCATGTGCTTTATTCCAGAATTTCAATTGTTGTAGTAAAACCATTTGGTAAGCTAGATGTGGTCATGCCCAATGAAATCTCAATATTCTAGAGGTTGAGGCAGGAGGATCTCCAAATTTCAGGCCAGACTAGACTATGTAGTGAGATTTTTGTCATTAAAATTTGAGTCATTTGTTGTGGAAGGTCCCAGCCCATTGTGGGTGGGGATAGCCTGGGCTGGTGGTCCTTGGTGCTATAAAAAGGCAGGCTGAGCAAGCAATGATGAGCAAGTCAATAAGCAGCACTCCATGGCCTCTTCAGCATCTCCTGTCTTCAGGTTTCTGCCCTATTTGAGTTCCTTGCTTTGGCTTCTCTCAGTGGACTGTGACACTGGATACGCAAGCCAAGTAAACCCTTTCCTTCCCAAGCTGCTTGGTTTTTTTTTTTTTTTTTTTTTTTTTTGTCATGGTGTTTTATCACTGCAGTAGAAGTAGAAACCAAACTAAGGCAACAATAAAAGGAAATTTTAAATCCTCAAATTGACAAGAAGTAAAAACTATTTTGTGTGTGTGTATGTGTTTGTTTTGGTTTTTGGAGACAGGGTCTATATATATGGAGACTTACTATGTAGACCAGGCCAGCCTCAAACTCTTAAGATATCCACCTGCCTCTGCCTCCTGAGTGCTTAGATTAAAAGTGTTTGCCATATATGGAAGTTACCAGGATGTTAGAGTTAGAATAAACAAGCAACCATTTCTACACAGCCTGTGATGAGTACAATAATAAGTTGTAACTAAGCATGGGGGCACAGGCCTGCAATTCCAGCAGCTGTGAAGTAGACCAGGAGAATCAGGTGTTGCAGGTCATTCTTAAACAGCCTAGGCTATGTGAGATTCTATCAAAAAAAGAAAAGAAAATACATTTATTTCTGTATACTAGTGTCTTAGTTCTCTATTGTTGTGATTAAAACACAATGACCAAAGCAAATACTAAGGAGTTTAATTTAAACTGAGATTTCCAGAAGGTTGAGATTTTTTGATGAGCCAGGTGGTGGTGTTGCATGCCTTTAGTAAATCCCAACACTAAATAAAACAACAAAAAGTTTTTGATGATAGACATGCCACCAAAGGCATAGTGGCAGGTGACTGGAGCCCAGCTGAGAGCTCACATGCAGGTCCACAAACAGGAATCATTGAGTACATTGGGGATGGCAGGAGGCTTTTGAAATCTTAAGCTCATCCCCAGTGACACACCTCCTTCAACAAGGTTACACTGGTCCCTGGCCTCTGGCCCCCGTCCTTCCCAAGCAACCACCAATTGAGAATCAAGTATTCAAATGCCTGAGATTTGTGGAGAGGCATCTCACTGAAACCACTACAGCTAGCAATGAATAAACTGATAAACCAGGCATAGTAAAATTATAAAGTAAGGGGCGTGAGGATGTAGGCCTTTAATAGAGTGCTTGCCTAATACGCATTAATCTCCAGTGCCACATAGACCACATATAACAGTGCAGGCCTATAATCCTAGCATTCAGGAAGCAGAGGGGAAAGCATCAGAAATGCAAAGTGATCCTTAGCTACAGAGCAAGCTTGAGGCCTAGGCTGTGTAAGACCCTATCTTTAAAAAGAAAGAAAAAAATAGGGACTATGGCTCAGTGATATAGTACTTTTCTAATGTGCATGAAGCACTAGATTTTAATCAATAATACCATAAAATTAGTGATATACTTGTCAAGATAAAGAAGGCTATAGGTAAAATGTTAAAGGAAAGTAAAGAAAGCCAGGTGATCATACCTATAATCACAGGAGCAGAGGCAGGAGGACTAGTATAAATTCTAGGCTAAACAGGAAAGGCTACAGATAATCCCATTTATCTGAACTTGACAAAATATGGACAGAAAATAACTTAGTGGTTTCAGGTAGCCGAGTTTTAGAAAGGAAGGTTGCTTGTGGGTGGGTGCTAAAAATTATATAGTGATAGTGGTTACACTGCATTATCTCATGTGCTCATGAACACACACACACACACAAATAAGTGTAAAAAAATAAAATTAAACAAAACTTTTGGTCTCTAACACTGCAACAACCGATATAGGATCTTGAAATAAATATTTATATGATAGAAACTGTTGTACTAAGTATAACTTTGACATCTTACTCTGTAGAAATCCTGTACTTTGGTATTGAAACATAGCATTGCTGTTATAGGAGAAGCCATCCCTCCACGGACTTTGACTGAGGCAGGCACAATGGCACTTTGCTACAGTGCTGCTTGGGATGCACGAGTTATCACTAGTGCTTGGTGGGTGTACCATCATCAGGTAATAAGGGCTGTGGTCTATTTTCTTAATCTCTTAACAGCTATACCTCATTACAAATGGTTAGGATATAGAAAGCAGACGAAGTACCTGCCTTGATAAAGTTGATGTTTAAGCAGTAGACAAAAATATATGCATACCAGGTAGCAAGTACTGTGATGAAGAAAACAAAATTTCTCTTTTGGGTCTCCTATGTAGCCTTGGCTGGCCTGGAGCTTGCTATGTAGACCAAATTGGTAACAGAGATCCACCTGCCACTGCTTCCCAAGTGCTGGGATTAAAGGTGTGCAGCACTATATCTGACTTAATTAGATTTTTTTAATTCTCTTTTGCCTTTCCAGAAAACTAGATATAACTTGTGTTTTGTGTATTCACTTGGTTTTAGTGATTGACCTTTTTTTCAAAAAGGTTTATTTATTTATTGTGTATACAGTGTTCTGTCTGCATGTATGTATGCTTCCAGAAGAGGGTACTGATCTCATTACAGATGGTTGTGAGCCACCTTGTGTATGATGGGAATTGAACTCAGGATCCCTGGAAGAGCAGCCAGTGCTCTTAACTACTGAGCCATCTCTCCAGCCTTTATGTTCAATGCTGTTTTGTTTGTTTTTGTATGCCTTTTTGATTCTGTTTTGTCATACTGGGAATTGCACTTGGATACTAATGCAATCTAAAAGTACCCTTAGCCCTCTTTATTACTTTTATTTTGTGAGGACATCTAAGTTCTTCCAGCTGGCATTAAACTCACCCGTATAGCCCACTCAGGACTTGAACTCTCAGTCCTCCTGCCTTTGTATCTGGGTAGCTGGGAGTATAAGCCTGTGCCACCAAGCTCAGCTGTTAGTGCTATTTGTTATTCTTTCATATTTGACTTCCCATTGCAAATAAACCCTCCCCCACCCCCACCCCTTGTTTTTTTGATGCAGGGATTCTCTGTGTAGCTTTGGAGCCTTTCCTGGAACTAGCTCTGAAGACCGCGCTGGCCTCAAACTCACAGAGATCCGCCTGCCTCTGCCTCCCGAGTGCTGGGATCAAAGGCATGCGCCACCAACACCTGGCTATAAATCCACATTTCCAAGAATTATATTTGATAATGATATACTAATTGTACAAGAATCACAAATTATGTGGTAAGATTAAAAATATCCTTGAAATTCATTTCATTTTATATTTATGTTATTTGCTATTCTGTGATGTGGTTTTAGGAAATTAATATACTTGAGGGTAATACTTTATACCTCTACTATTAATTAAAGTGATTTTATAACTAATAAAGATACACTCAAGTTTAAAGAATTTACAAATGTGTAATAACTTTTGAATAAGCTGTCTCTTTTTTTTTTTTTTTAACCAAATTACATTTTTAAGAATTATGTTAATTCCTTCTAGAAAAATCTGATTTAGCAGCTAGGGAGGTGGCTCAGTCAGTGAAGACCCTTGTCATCAAGCCTATCGACCTGAGTTCAGTTAAATGGTGGGAGGGGAGAAACACACAATGTCCTTTGATCTCTGTAGCATACATGCATGCAAACACAGAAAATTAAATTGTTAAAGTTTGGAAGCTGGAGAGATGGCTCAACTCTTAAAGAGTGTATACTGCTTTTTCAGAGCACCCAAGTTCAATTTCTAGCACCCACATTAGCAGCTCACAACTACCTGTAACACAAGCTCCAGGGGACTTAGCAGGCACCGGCACACACATGCACATACTATCACACAGACACAGACATAATTAAAAGTATTTCACAGCCAGCATCATGGTGGATGCCTTTAATCTGAGCACTCTTTCAAGTCTGAGGCGAGCAGCCTGATCTAGAGTGAGTTCCAGGGGAGCCGGGGCTACACAGAGAAACTCTGTCTCAAGAAACAAAAACAAACAAAAAAATTTTTTTCAAAATATTTTTTAAAGAAAAAAATAGCTGTTTTACTATTTACAGAAAAGAATTTTAGTGACTGTAACTTTATCTTCCCTAAGGTTTTATGTTAAGCTTATTAAACTTACTCTTTTCTCATTATATCCTATGTTGGAAGAAAAAGCTAGTTCTAGTCTAGTCTGTGTCATTTTATTGGAGTAGTAGATCTTTTGTTATTTCTTCATTTATATATGTTGTCAAGTATATCTGTCATTGGAAGGATATAGCTATGTCTGCAGTATTGAGAATTTTTGCTAAATTGCAGTTTTCAGGACTTAAAGTTGCTTCCTTGAATATGATTATTTCCTCCTCTTGGGTAGAAAACATTTTATACGAACATCTTAAGAGACTAAAGATGTAGTTCAGTTGGGAGAGTGCCTTCCCAGCATGCACAAAGCCCTGGCTTAATCCCAGGTGCCACGTAAATTAGGCATGGTATGTACAATGTGACCCTAGCACTCAGGAGGTGGAGGGGCTAGAAATTCAGGGTCATCTTCGGTCACATAGCAAGTTTAAAGCCAACCTGCAGTAACAAAGCCTGTCTCATTTATTTTCTTTAGATAATAATTTAATGCATTATTGTGTTCTTCAGGTGTCTAAAACAGCACCAACAGGAGAATATTTGACAACAGGAAGCTTCATGATAAGAGGTAACAGTTAACATGAAAAATATGTAGCCAAGAGCCATTTTACAGATATTCTTGAGTAGAAATGGACTACTATAATTGGACATACTGATTTTGTTAGGAAATAAGGGAATTTTTGCCTTGGCATGGCAAATTCAGCATTTGTCATCATACATTTACTGATGAGAATGCATTTCACATAATTGGGTTATAATATAATTATTCCTATATATAATATTAAGTATTGTAAGTGCTTATGTTCTGGTACAAGGTAAAATTGGATCTAATCATTGTTATGTAATATTTTCAGACAAAAAAGTAGAGAAAACATTTTTATAATATCATGTGTATTATCTCTTATAGGAAAAAAGAATTTCCTTCCTCCTTCATATCTAATGATGGGGTTCAGCTTCCTTTTTAAGGTACTGTTCACTTTCTGTGGGCTTACTTTATGCTCTCACTAAAGTGCAGCAGTGAGGAAGATCTGTTTCTCCAGGTAGATGAGTCTTGTGTCTGGAGACATCGAGGTGAACGGAAAGTCAGAACACAGGATGAAGACATAGAAACGCTGACGAGCTGCACAAGTGAACTCGCGTCTGAAGACATGGAACAACTAGGTAGTTGACATGTTGTAGTGAATTGGCTTGTGATTTGTGTGTGCTTGTTTATGTGCACGAGTGTGGGAGGCCAGAGGACAACATTGGGTGTTTTGGAGGCACTCTCCACTTTCTCTGGAGACTGGATTTCTTTCTGGTCTGGAGCTTGCTGATTAGCAAGTCTGGCCAGTGAGCCAAACCCTTACCATCATTGTCCGGATGACAAGTACGCGCCACCACACCTGATTTGTTACTGATCTTCCCTTCGTGTGGTTTCTGCCAATCTAGCTCATATCCTTGTTCCTGAAAGGCAAGCACTTTACCAACTAAATCTGCATCTTCCCAGCCAGGCCTGTGACTTTGTTTTCTTCTTGACAAAATACCATGTGTAGCTCTGGCTTGCCTAGAACTTGTCATTGAACTTGCATCAGTCCTTCTGTCTTTGTCTCCCATTGTTAGGATTACAGGATTCACCATGTTATCTAGCCAAGTCTTGTGATTTTTCACTCTCTAGTTTTATTTCTGAATCTTTAGAAATTGTGTCTCGTCTGTGATAACCAGAATTTCAAAAGTAGTCCAAAGTACTATTAATTTTACTGAATTTTGTTTCTGGAGATACTAAATATGCTCTTTTTTTGTACTAGGGAAATTGAAAAAATATTCCGATGAATTAAACATAGTTTAATTAAGGGGCAGGAGAGATGGCTCAGAGGTTAAGAATACTTCTTCCAGAGGTCCTAAGTTCAATTCCCAGCAACCACATGGTAGCTCACAATCATCTGTAATGAGATCCGGTGCTCTCTTCTGGCCTGCAGTCATACATACAGGCAGAACTCTGTATACATAATAAATAAATCGTAAAAAAAAAAAAAGAAAGAAATACACAACCAAAATACTTTTGATAAAATTTGAACATTTAAACATTTTATAAATATACTTAACAGATAAACTTTGGATACTTATGAATTAACATTTCCATTTGGGTTTAGGAATTAGAAATGATAGGAAGATGAATTTATATTAAATATAATTTATTTTCTTCTTTTTTTTTTTTTTTTTTTGGTCAAGACACGGTTTCTCTGTGCAACAGTCCTAGCTGTCTTGGATCTCTGTAGATCAGGCTGGCCTCAAACTTACAAAAATTTGCTTGCCTCTGCCTCCTGAGTGCTGGGATTTACTAAGGGCATGTGTCACCACCGCCCAGTTCAAGAATAATTTCTAACATGGGACTTTTGGTTCAGGCCAGGCTTTTGACTGTCATCCTGACTCATTTGAAAATCGGTTTTCAAATGCTGATAAGCCAGTATGCCCAGCTTTGGTTGATTTTTTTTTTTTTTTTTTTTTTTTTTTTAAATAATATATTTGCTTTATGTAGAGAGACCTACCTCCCTAAGGAACCTAGATAAAGGGTACCTTGAACTACTTCTATAGTTACTCTCCTAGAGTCATTCCTTGTTGGAGTCATAATTCATTGCTTAATTTAAAACTACTGTTGTTGGATTCTATTGATTGATGCCTGCCATGTCCTTGTCATAAAGTAATATATAAATAACAATAATACATATTTCTTAATTTCATGATAATCCTTGCCTTTTGGAAATAGCTGTGACAAACAATCTAGGTTTGTTACAGAAATGATAGTGATGTCCATCTGTGGTAAAATGATCTCGAAAGTCATGTAAGGACTATCATTTTGTCAGAGAGTATAGCACATTGTGGAGATGACCAAGAATCTTTCTGGTGACCTGTTGGGCAACCTAGGAATCAACTGGAATCATGTGGCCTCCTTGGGAGTTTCACACTTACTTTCCTTATGGAATTCTGCAGAAGCGGGCGACAGTAGTGAAGACGACAAAGAGGACATACATGGAACTCCTGTACAAGTAGAACTCGTGACCCAGGTCAGTCAAGAGGACATTGCTGTTCAGAGTGGCAGAGATGAATTAAGTGAGGAATTAATACAGGAAGAAAGCTCTGAAGATGGAGAATCTAAAGAAGTTACAAAAGACGAAGAGCCCGTTGATGAAATGAAGGGTGAGGAGGAAGACACCCTCAGTTACCCTGACACCACCATTGACTTGTCCCACCTTCAGTCCCAGAGGTAACTGAAAAGAATTGAAGTTTCCTTTATAGACTGGAAACGATGGTGCGGGAACCCTTATAAAACAATAGCACTGTTCATGTTGTGTTACTCAGGCTTATTCGGGTCCTTTTGCCCTCCTTTGTGTTTATATTTTTTTAGCATTTGTCTCTTACTAGAAATTCCCAGAACCAAAGGGAAAAAGTCCATAAAAAGAAGACAAAGGGGTAAAAATAGACGAAGCAGCATGGAGTGAGGGAGGTGCAGAAGGACACATGGAACCTGAAAGAGGAAGAGACTACATGAGGGTTACTTAGGGAGTCAGGAGATATGGGAAAGAAGACTCTACCACAATGTTTATTTGAAAATACTGCAGTGAAGGAAGGCATGGGGAGACGACTCAAAAGAAAACATACTGCTTTTATAGGGTACCTGAGTTTGGGTCCCAGAATCCCTGTTAGACCACTCACAGCTGCCTGTAACTCAGTTCCAGGGAATCCAGAGTTGTCTTCTGGCTTTTCTCCACTCATTTGCACAGACACACTATATAATTAAATAATTAAATCTTAAAGCTGAACATAGTAGCACACCTTTAATCTCAGCAAAGGCAGACAGAACGATTGAGTTTCAGGCCAGTCTGCTCTAAGAGTCAGTTCCAAAACACTCTACTATACAGAGAAACCTTGTCTTACAAATCAATCTTTGTGGGTGGGAAGGAGCTGTTCAAGACAGGGTTCTTCTGTGTAGCCCTCCTGTCCTGGATCTCACTTTGTATACCAGTGTGGCCTTAAACTCACAGAGATCCAACCACCTCTGCTTCCCAAGTGCTGGGATTAAAACGTGTGCCATCACAGAGGATGGTAGTTTTTTTGTTGTTGGTTTGTTTTTGTTTAAGCATTGCTATTAGAGTTCTAAAACATGGATGGCTTAGAAGTCAGACAGACCAAAATGAAGTTTTAGGATGTCTCCTTGGCAAACCACCCTGTGTTTTAAGAATGTTTTTCTTAGAAAACGGAATTTCCCTTCCACAGGTTTTCAGTGGAGATTTTAGTGTACAGTGTCAAGCAGTAGCTCAGAGTGAGGTTTCAGCTCTACAAGTGGGTGTAGTGCTGCGTACCTGAGGTAGGAAGAGAAGTTCACAATCATCCCCAATTCCATAGAGAGCTCAAGGACAATTTGAGCTCAGCAGGAATGTATGAAAACATAGGAAGATGATTGCTTGTATTTTGTCAAATTTGAAGGTTTATAGAATTGTAAGAAAATGGGAAGTTTTAAGACTGTAACTGAATGGTTTTCGTAGGCTAATAAATTCTTTTGTTTTCATAGGCCTCTGCAGAAACTGGCTTCAAAAGAAGAATTTTCTAATTCAGTAAGCTTTTTTTAAAGTTACGTTTAAAAAGTATTGTTTTTCTGAATAATTTTGTTTTAAAATTCACTTTTTGAAAAAAAAATATAGAAATGGTCTCATGATTCCTTGTTTTTGTTTTAATAGAGCGACAGTAAATCACAGAGTCGAAGACATTTGTCAGCCAAGGAAAGAAGGTAAAAGTGTTATATGACTGAGTCACTTTTTAAAATTGACAGCTGGGCAATGAGATGAGTCAAAGGGTCTCATTGTAGGAGAGAACTGACTCTTAGCTGAAAGTCCTCTGACCTCTATATATTTGACATATTTGACTATTTTGAAGACTCCTTTAATCACAAAAATTTTTTTTTTTGTTTTATTTTGGGTTTTTTTATTTGTTTTTCGAGACAGAGTTTTTCTGTGTAGTTCTGACTGTCCTGAACTTGCTTCTGTAGATCAGGATGGCCTGGATCTCAGAGATTTGGCTGCCTCTGCCTCCCTTGTACTTGGATTAAAGGTGTGCATCACCACCATTGGGAACTCAGCAGTTAAGAACACTTGACTGTTCTTTCAGAGGTTCTGAGTTCGATTCCCGGTGGCTCACAGCCATCCATAGTGGGGTCTGATACCCTCTTCAGGCATAAAGACCTACATGCAGGTAGAACACTCACATAAATGGTTTTTAAAAATAAATCTTAAAAGGGGGGGGGCATGTACCACCACTGCCTGGCTATCACCAAGACCCTTTATGTCCAACTCTAATGTGGTTTTTGTATTTAAGGCTCATCTGTGGTAGATCAATAAAACAGACCTTTTATTATGTAAATGTGAACAGTGATTGTAGAGACATTATGGATATAAAACAGTTGATTGTTTTCATTAATAGTTGTACAAATTAATAATTTCACTGTGATATTTCTATACCATGCTTTGATATTATTTTAATAATTTATTTTTTAAATTTAATGTGCACTGATATTTTGCCTGCATGTATGTCTGTGTGAGTGTATTGGGTCCCATAGAACTGGAGTTACAGACAGTTGCGTCATGTGGGTGCTGGGAATTGAACTCAGGTCGTCTGGAAGAAGAGCCAGTGCTTTTAACTATTGAGCTATCTCTTATTTTTTCTCTTAACCTTTCTTGCCCTTCCCTTTTTTACCCCCTCTTTAATTCAAGGATATTAATAAGAATAAATAGAAATTCTTAAAATTGATTAGGAAAATTTTGTATAAAACAAAATGGCTCAGGCAGGTAAGTAAAGTATTTATCATGTTGGCATAAAGATCTGAGTCCTGATTCCTAGTCCTCATGTAGAAAGCTGAACAGAGCAGTGTGTACCTGTTGTCTTAGCAGGTGGGAGATCCTGCCTCAGGGGGATAAGGCAGGGGTTGATGGAGCAGAGCACGTCATCCTCCAGGCTCTGCATGCACATACACATGGCAAATATACCTTAAGATATTTTAGCAACTAGGTACATGGTTGCTAGTAAAGAAAGACTGCTCGGTGAATTAGCATTGAAATAAGGAGAGACAGGTTTGGAAGTAAAAATAAACTGGAGGGAAGGGAAAGGAAAAGAAAGTTGATGTATATATTATAAAATCTTACACGGTTAGATTAGAAGGTAAATTTAGATTAAAATAGGAAAACATGGAATGACTAAGGACTTAGAGATTTATTTTACAAATGGTATTATGGAAATGTTTGGAAACTTTTGAGTGGGACTATGATGGATAAGGAAACAGAGAAGGTTATAAGAAATATGGAGGAAGCCTTAAGAGGCAGTGAGTACCTGGACTAAGGTAATAGCATTGGGAATAGAAAGATGCCAAAGCAACAGAATGTACTCTTCTTCCTTAATGTGGTTGTTTGGATGTACTTAGTTAATCCACCAGCCAACAAATATATTGACTGTCCAAGATCTGGCAAAGCCATGCTGATAGAATACTACCAATCCTGGTGTCTGCACTTTATTTAGGGTTGTTAGTTGAATAAATGAATGTGTAGTTGAGGGATATGCATAAGTAATTTTTTAGTCTAGATGACAGAATGACAAATTTTTGAAAGATATTCTGGCCTTTTGTACCTGATAACTTGAGCATCTTTGCATTATTAAGTTAAAGAGAAGCAGTCACATATTGTACATGTTCCCTTTACCTTTTACACATTTTTAGGGTACACTTGACATTCTTAAAATTTGGTGTTTCTGCTTGGTTTCTGTTTAGGGAAATGAAAAAGAAAAAGCTTCCAAGTGACTCAGGGGATTTAGAAGTGATAGAAGGAAAGGACAAAGAGAGAGAGAGTTCTGTGCACACTGAAGCTTACCAGAACACTAGCAAAAATGTTGCATCTGGACAGCCAATGAAAAGAGGACAAAAGGTAATAATTGTGCTTCTGAATGATCTGTTAGTTCAGTATGGCTCACATGTGAAGCTGTGGGTTTCCTCCCGGCTTTGCAAAGTTTAAAAGTGAAATAGAAGGGGCTAGTTGCTCTTCTAGAAGACTCAGATTCAACTTTGGCTCTTACGTGGCAGCTAACAACTGTCAGTCCAGTTCAGGAGATCCAACACCCTTTTCTGGACTCTGCGGGGCATCAGGCATACAAGTGGTACACAAATGTATATGCAGGCAAAATGCCCATAGACATAAAATAATTTTTAAGTAAAATAGAATATGTGCATAATTGTTTTAATTCTGATGCTAGAAATTAGCTGGAAAGGTTAAGACTATACCTGATGAAGGTGTACTGGGAAAGCACTTCTGATAACACATACAAACTCCCTGAGAAATTGTGAGTGCTAGCACTGAGTCTGAACTGGTAGAGTCCCTTCCTTCACTGTTGCTGCACTGGGATTTGAAAGTTGGACAAGGAAGTCATTGTGATGTAGATGTCATGTTCTGCTATGGCAGCACCATCTGAGAGGGTCATCACTTGCTTCAGACAGAGGGCTGCCAGTGTGTGTCACCAACAACCTGAGTCACCAGCAGAGTCGCTTACAGTTTCTGCTTAGCCCTGGCCCTCCACCTACGCAGGGTCCTCTGTACCTGTTGAACCATTCTTGCACAGGGACCCCAGAAGGAAGACTCAGAGACAGCAAGAGAGGGGCAGAGAGCCACACTTTTACAGCAACTTTAATCAAAATAAGTTGTATTGGTTTACCCTTATTTGTATATATCTCTTCTGTTCTATTGTGGCAGATTGCTTGAGGGATGAGAGATATAGCATCTTCTTCCTGTCATCCATATTATAATGTCAACCATTTTATAATGGTTAGTGTCTTGTTCAAAAGCACACTTAATAGAATAAAAGAGGCATTTTTAAAAAAATACTGTTTACTGCTTTTTTTTTCGAATCTTTTTATTTCAGAGTAAAATGAAAAAAATGAAAGAAAAATACAAAGACCAGGATGAAGAAGATCGTCAGCTTATTATGAAATTGCTAGCAGTGAGTAACATCTTAAATCATTTCTGTTGCTTTACAGTGGGCCAGTGAGATGGCTCAGTAGGTAAAGCACTTTTCACCAAGCCTGACCTCCTAAATTCAGTTCCTAGAACACCCATATTCAAAGAAGAAAACTAACTCCTACGTGTTGTCCTCTGAATGCCACATGTATATTATGGCATGGGTGCCCCTACACTCCTAACATACACACAAATGTAAGGAAAAACAAAAGCTTAGATTCAAAACATTGAAGTGTAATTATTTAAAAACCTTAGTATTAATAATAATTGATTTCTCCCCCCCCCCCCCCTTATAAATTGAAAGTCTGCAGGTTCAAACAAAGAAGAAAAGGGGAAGAAAGGAAAGAAAGGAAAAACAAAAGATGAACCTGTGAAAAAACAGCCACAGAAAGCCAGAGGTGGACAACAGGTTTTAGATGTTGTTAAGAGGGAAGCTCCATCCCTTCAGGTTTTAACTCACGACTTACAAGACTTAGCTGTAGATGACCCACATGATGACAAGGTGAGTGTTCCCATTGGGGTGACCACAACCTGGGGCTGACAGGGTTAGTCCAAGCAAGTCAGTCTTCACCTTACAAACAAAGCCTCAAAGCCTAAAATTAGGTTCATAAAAAGTGCACAGCTGATAGACTGATTAGAAGCCTTTGGAAAATTAGTTTGGGGCAAGAAAGATGGCATTTTTAAGTTTCTTGCCATAAGGCCTGAGTTATAGCCCCAGAATTGGATGCAATTTATGTGCTTATGACTCTCACACTGGGAATGCTGTCAGCCAGGGAGCAGAGCCCACTCAGCAAGCTCCCAATGAAAAATCTTAAAGTAGATGCTATTCCTGATGACATCCAAGATTGCCCTCTGACCTCCACAGGCACACAGACAGACACAAGTATATATGCACATAGCACACACAAAATAACAGTTTTATGGGAGAGGTTTTACATTCCAGTGAAACTCAGTTAAAATAAGAGGAAGTACTCGGCTTGAGTAGAAAATAAATTTTTCTGTAAACTTTTCTATAGGATTAAATAACTATGTTGTTTGGAGTTAGGTCTGTTATGGAAGCAGGAAGAACATTTTTGCCAGCTAAGGTAGTTATTTAATTGATTTATCAACTAGATCATTTAAAAGCCCACAGTTAAGTATATTTTTGTTCATGAATAGATAATTATTGTTGAAATGCTGAGCTTTAAAAAAAACTGTATAAAGTACAGACTGAAGGTTGACAGGTGGGATGATCACTGTAATAATAAATCAGACAGCTATTTTTTTACTTGGGTTGCACCATTTTTAGTTAAAGCTTGAGTTATACATTCTGTTTAGTGAGATGTTTATAGGGATTTCTTGTCAGTATTCTTTAGATTAGACCAACAAAAATCCATGCCAGACATGGTGGCATATAGCTAGAATTCCAGCCCTTCAAAAGCCAGCTTACGTAGCAAGTCATGGAAAGGGAAAATTCCTACCAGGCATTAATCTTCTTTCGCATTATGTTTCGCATTATTACAAATGGAGCTTTTAGGAAGGGAAGTAAATGCCCTTATGAGATAAAGGGAACCTATCAAATGAAGACCTGGGAATCAGATGCTTTAAGAGTCTCATGTAGCTGACTGGTGGTGGTGCACACCTTTAATGCCAGCACTGGGAGGCAGAGACAGGAGGATCTCTGAGTATGAGGCCACCCTGATCTACAGAGTGAGTTCCAGGACAGCCAGGGCTGAGAAACCCTGCCTCAGGCTTGGGGGCATGACCACATAAACAAACAAACATACATACATACATACATACATACATACATATTCATGTAGCAGGGACTGATCATAAACTTGCAGTTGCAGAGTGAGCTTGTACTGCCTCAGCGTCTCAGGTGCTGGGATTATGAGAGTGTGCTACAGAACCTACAGCTATCCTGACCTTGAAATTTTAGCCTGCAGACCTGTTAAATGTAAATTTATTTTAAAAATTGTGCATTCTGAAGTCTCTTGATACAACAGCCTAAAAAGACTGAGACTAGTTTGTCTCCAAATAGGTATTGTCCACAATGTCGGCATATATTTTAAGTAAAAGATTTTGTCACACTGGCTAAAAAAAAACTTTCTGTTTCAAATGACAATGCTTTCTAAAGTATTAAATACGTGCATACTAATCCACTTTAAGAGTCTTAGTGGACCCAAGGGGTATTCTTCAGCTCCTGTTATGAGTTATACAACAGCCTTATTATATCAGGTTTTTCTGCTTGTGGCTTATTGGTACAAAGTTTCATAGCTGACTTTAATCTTTATGTTTGGACCTAGGAAGAGCACGATCTGGACCAGCAGGGAAATGAGGTATGATTTGAGTGGGGTTTCTACTCCATCTCACTGTCCTCTTTGCCAGAACATCTAATACTACGCAGGCTCTGCAGCCCCTATATGGGTTTGAGGTATCATCCAAGATATATATAACTGTGCAGATCTGAAATTATTCTTTTGTAGCCCTGGCTGTCCTGGAACTTGCTATATGTTCTTGAAATGTCTTGAACTCAAAAGATCACCTGTCTCTGCCTCCTTGTGTACACCACCATAGCTAGCCTGAAAATATTCTTTATCGCTCCCTTCCTTTGTGTTGAAGCATTATTATTTATGGAGATAATAATCACTTTTTAAAGTAATTTGTAAATTACTTTTAAAGTTTATCACCAAGTATTTGCCTTTGTAGCTAGTCTACAACGAGAATTAGCTTAAGGAGTTTTGAAATTTCTCCTTAAGAACAGAGATGTCTCAGTAGTTAAGGGCACTGGCTGCCTTTTCAGAGAAGCTGAGTTCAGTTCCCAGCCTCTACATGGGCCACTCAAAACCAGCTATAGCTTTAGCTTTAGGAGATTTGATGCCCTGTTCTAGTCTCCATGGGAACACACATACATGGCACACTTTCTGATACATAAACACACATACATATTTTTTAAAAAGACAGAGTCAGGTGGATGTCTGTGAGTTTGAGGCCAGCCTGGTCAGTGAGAAAGTTCCAGAACAGCCTCCAAAGCTACAGAAAAACCCTGTCTCCAAAAAAAAAAGAAAAAAAGGAGAGGGAAAGAAGCTTAGATTTTTCTCAATTTTGACACTGTTCACATTTTTGGCAAGTATGATCCTTTGTTGCCAGGCCTGTGTAACATATAAGTTAATTAAACAATACCCTTTAATCCCAGCACGTGGGAGGCAGAAGCACGTGAATCTCTATGTTCAAGGCCAGCCTGGTCTACAAAGCTACACAGAGAAACTCTTTGTCTGGAGGGAAAAAATACCCTGGACCTAATCCATTAGAGGCCATTCCTTTCTATCTGAAAGCCAAAACTATTCCTAGATACTGGTGAATCTTCTATAGCGGGACAAAGTCCCCGGTTCAGAATTATTGGTCTAGCTCAAGTGTGGCAGCACTTGAGACAGAAGGTGGGTAGATTATCTGTGAGTTGGTCTACAATAATGAATTCTGGAACAGCAAGAACTACACAATGAGACTATTCTGTCTCGTGAAGCAGCTCAGTCTGTAAAGTGCTTGCCATGCACACACGAGGATCTGAATCCTCAGCACACACATGAAAGACACTACAGAAGTGGAAACAAGAGGCTCTCTGGAGCTTGCTGACCAGCTAGGCTTGCCCAGCCTGTGAACTCTGAGTTCAGTAAGAGACTTAAGTAAGTTGAAGATTAATTAATAGCCTATACATGAAAAAGAAAAGTCACTGATCTAGCGCATGTTGAAATCTGTTTCCTTGTGACAGCCTTAAACTCCTTGTAGTTATTAGTGTTGGTTTGAGTCCACAGTAGCTTCTCTGCAGCTTAGTTGCAATGTAGCATCTGTCATCCTCTTTCTAGGTAATTAAATGGTGCTTTGAAAACTGTTTCCATTGTTGCATATTGTAGGCTAAGTTGTAAGGAGTATATATTTAACATTACATTTCAGTTCTTTGTAACTCTAAAGCGGTCAGATTGTATTTGTCAGAAAAAGCTAAAGTACAGTATAAATTCCTTTTATAATTGTCTTTATTTTCCTCTTTTAGGAAAATCTGTTTGATTCTTTGACAGGGCAGCCACATCCTGAAGATGTACTAATGTTTGCTATTCCAATATGTGCTCCTTATACCACCATGACAAATTATAAGTAAGTCAACCATTATTTCACTTATAATAGCTGCCATATGCCTTTATGACTCTCTTTTCGATCTCCCCATAGTAACTCATACTTTTTTTTTTTTTTAAGGTACAAAGTGAAACTTACTCCTGGAGTTCAGAAAAAGGGAAAAGGTAACAGGACTTTTTTTAAAATTGTGATTTTAAAATAATTTTAGTGACTGAACCAGAAGTACATTCTTTAGCTCTCTATTTACAGCTGCAAAAACGGCCTTGAATAGTTTCATGCATTCCAAAGAAGCAACAGCAAGAGAAAAAGACTTATTCCGCAGTGTGAAGGTAAAGTTTCCCTTCAGAACTCTGATGACTGATGGTCTGATGAAGATCTTTTCTGTTGCCTTGATGCAGAGCTTCTTACTAGGAGCCATACATATAATCAAATCAGCTCAGCAAAGTTATAAATGCCTTTCTTCTGATAGTAGAATAGGTACAATTATCTGAAACATGACTTACTAAATGGGACATGGAATCATTAAGCACTTTTCTTTTTTAGGACACAGATTTATCAAGAAACATTCCTGGCAAAGTGAAAGTGTCCGCACCTAATCTTCTTCATGTAAAAAGAAAATAGCTGAAATGAACTCCTGAAACACTGTGAAGAGCCAATTTTATAGCCTTTGGAAGTTCAAAGATGCAAACTTATTAATAGGACTTCCACATTTACAAATGAACACATTGCCTTGCTATATCACCAAAAGGACTTAAGATTTTTTTTCAAGTTTTATATGTATATACATATATAAACTATTACAATAGTATTTCCTAGAATATTTGTTAAATGATACACACCTGTAATTGTTCTGCATTTTATTGACATTCTTGAGGTTTCATTTAATGATGTAAAGCCCTGAAGTGGCTCAACTGCATTAACTACTGGCCTGGAGGTTTACTGTATAGAACATCTAATACACACATTACAATCAATCGTAGGGGGGCTTTGTTTGCTTTTTGGGGGCAAGTAACATTTAGTGTTTGACAATTGTTTCTGTGCATTCATATACATCACCTTCTACCCTGATCTCTCCCTTTTAATGTCATTCAGTTGTGTGCCATATTCTTTCCATCAAATGTCTTACCTATTAGATTATCAGAAGTGCATTTTTTTTTTAGGTTTATCACTAAAGATTCCTGGTCCAGTTTTCTTCTCTCTCCTACCAGAACAGAGAATAAAATCATACATTTTATCTCTCTTCCTTGGTAAGGTACATACTGCCACTTCTTAATTAGCTCGATAGTAAACATGACCACCTATTCCAGGATTGTATCAACACATTAAGATTGAAATACTAAGTTAATTGTAACTTGGGCTATATAATACATACAACTCTTTCACTCCCACTGCCGCACCATTGCCTCACACCCAGTGTGAGAGAGCAGCATATTTGAGTCCTAGCACTTGAGAGGTGGGGGCTAGAGTATTACTGATTCAAGACCAGCCTTGGCTATTTACGTACAAGGCTAAAAGTGTACCATTTCCAGTTTCTACAGACACATTACATCCAAATTATCAAAAGACAAATGTAAAAAATGTTATACCCATTCTTGGTATAAAAAGATAATGCAGTGATTTTTTTTTTTCTTTTTAACAATGGACAGGTACTGGTGTTAAATACATTTATTGTAAACTTTAGACACAAAAATAAGTTCTCTAGGCCATTCACATGCACATAAAACCCAGAAAGCTGCAAACTACAACAATGCATATAGTTATACAAAGGATGCCAGTCTGTGACAAATAGAGGGTTGTTTTCCATGCAAGTAGGTGAGAATTATTATCTATGGGGCCTTATGATCCAGAAGTGTTGTTACTACCGAACCTCTGATTAACACTGTGAAGTAGGTGTTTTGGAAGGCAGTTCCATGAGTTGGCTAGCATTTCTTTAAAGCAAATGACTGCTTCTAAGCTTAGCCTAAAAGTAGACAAGGAAAGAAAAAAAAGTTTGCATTAGCTTGAATGAAGATTCATTATTGCCTTTAAATACCAAGTGCCTGATAAGAACTTACCGTACAAGAGATTTTGGCTGAACTGAAAATATAAGCACTTCATTACTGTGTGCCTGGAAGAAAAGAGCGTGTTAGAACACAAATGCTGAAAGCAGGCTGCTGCGGTGCAAGGCAGGAAGACTGCACGCACCAAGTCCTAAACAGCGGGGACAGGAGCTGCACCCAAAGCCAGGAAAATGCTCAGGTGAAGTGCTCCTAGCATTCACAGGCCTTGTGTCCAGTCCTAAGCATCACAGAAAAGTGGAGAGAGATGGCTCAGCTGTCTGCTCCTCCTGAGGACCCGAGTTTAGTTCACAGTACCACCTTGGGGCTGTTTGTAACCCCAGCTCTAGTGGGAGCTAATATCCTCTTTTGGTTTTCCTGAGAACTGTATGCACACAGACATACATGCAGACAAAACACCAATAATACGAGTTTTGTTTTTTGTTTTAATAAAAACAAAAGCAGACAGGCAGTAGTGGTGCAGCCCTTTAATCCCAACACTTAGGAGGCAGAAGTAGGCGGATGCCTGAGTTTAAGACTAGCCTGATTTACAGAGAAGAGTTCCAGAATAGGGCTACACAAAGAAACCCTGTCTCTAAAAATTAATTTAAAAAGCCCAGCAAGGTTCACCTGATAAAGGCTCTTGTCACCATGGATGACAACCTGAGTTAGATTCCCAAGACCCTCATGATGGATGGACAGAACTAACTACAAGTATTGTCCTCATCCCACAGCACACACCAGCATAGAGAAACACGTAATGTTCATTAGCAGTAAAGGTGTACTTACAGCTCTGTGATGGACTAGCAGATTGTTTGCACAACCGCCAAAGACAATTACTTCTCCTTCATCACTTGCACATGCTGTATGCCATAACCTGCATGTGAAACAAAAGCTTCAGTTCAGTGTAACTCAAAAGTCCAAACTGAGCACTTTAAACTACATTCAGCCCAAATATGCTAAGAAATCCAATTTCAAGTAAAAGGAGCCTTTTAATAAGGCTGGCCTTGGTGTCACACACCTCCACACTGAAGTGGAGGGTGGATCTCTTAAGTCTGAGGCCAATCTGAGCTACATAATGTGGGATTTTAACCGAACAATCTAGGTCTTTGTTAGCAATAAGTCTTATGGGGACTAATCAGTGGCAGGTGAGTTGGCCTTGCACAGTGCAGCCAGACTGCAGTAAATTACTAAAGTTCTCCACCCCGGATAACTCTGTGGAAGGGTCATTTCTACCAAAGGTCTCAGCAAAAGACTATACTTGGATTAGAAGCTTAGATAAAGAAATGGAGGCTAACGTACTTTAAAAAAATCACTTCAAAATACCAATGCCTAAGTATGTAACTGCCTGTAGCAATTCCTTTGGAGACTAAAAAGACTATCCCATCAGTTTGTCGGTGTCTCATGTAGCCCAGAGCCCTTGATCTGCTGCTCCTCCTGCTTCTGGCTTCTAAGGGCTGCATTACAGGCATGTGCCTACTCACCCAGTAATTTTTTTTCCCCTGCCTTTCAAAAAGTTTTACTTAACCTTTCTTGAATAATGCTACTACAAACCATGAACAATTCTTGTTTGATTTTTTTTTTTTCCATGTACATTAACAGTTTTCCTCATAACAGACCATGGAAAAGCAATCTTTGGACACTCAGGTAATGTTGGTTGGTCTTCTTTTGGGAAGTATATTAAACCTTAATGAGTACCAGATTTTCTTAAGAAAGTTGGATAAAATCCAGCCAAAGCATCACTTCTCACCAATCTTTTATACTCATGGGACTTATAAATTAATTGTAAGAAATTATACCTTTTGGGTAGTTCATACCTTGGCTTTTCGGTATAAGGATGATTAAACTGAATCCATTCATTTTTACTGATGCAGTAAGTCCAGGCATCACCTAATTAAACAAAGAAAAGGCTATGAAGTGTGTTCTTTCTGACAGTCTTGACACAAAGAGCACAGCTTTCTCAAGAAACACATTGAGTTAAATCCTATTCCCTGTTCTCTGTGGTTACAGAAGTAAGGCCTCTCTAAGTGCTCAAAGTCATTTGTTTTAACCAGGCAGAATGGATTTAGGTCATAATATATACAATTGTAAGGTGTTACAGAGTCAGCAGGGACACAGCTAGAATTGAATTTCCGTGAATAATACACTTCTAATGCATAACTGAGACATGACAATAAGATGTACTTAAAAGACTCACTTAGTGGCTGCTTTTCAGTGGTAAATCCTCCAAAGAGAAAAAGATGATCTGAAGAGACTGGTGTCAGTGAGTGCCAGGAACGCCCAACAGGGCATATGCCTTGTGGAATTCTAAAAATAACAAGCAGAGTTATACTGTGGCTAGTGTCTGGGAAATAACTCACTCAATAAAGTGCTTGAGAATATGAGTTCTATCAGCAAAACCCACATATTATTTAAAAAGGGGTGGGGGAGCAGATGTGATGCATGCTTGCAATCCCATTGCTGGGGAGATGAACCCCTGGAGTATGCTGGCCTGTCCTACTAGGCAAATCCCAAGCCAGGGAGAGACCATGTCTCAAAAGGAAAACAGATTCACATTCAGAATCCCAGCACTTGGAAGGCTGAGACGGAAGACTTCCACAAGTTTGAGAGGAACTTAGGCTATGTACTAAGTTCCATGCTAACCTGTACTTCAGAGTAAGAACCTGTCACAAGAACAAAAACTTACCCCAAAATAAAAAAGGTGGACACCACTAAGTATATCAGAGACTATACTTCAGTCTCTACATGCACCCATAATCAACCTTACACAAAAATCTACTTTAAACCAGATACCACAGAGAAATGTTGAGGATTTCTTTTAAAATGTATATGGGTTATTAGATAAAGAAAACTTGAGAAAGACTTCCTGGGGTCTCAGGAAGTGGCTTAGCAGGGAAACTGCCAGAAAAGCACGAGGGCCATTCAGATCCCCAGCACCTATCCACCTGTAAGTGCATGTAGTGCCATTGAGTGGCGTTTAGAAGGCCACAGTGAGTTCCTCTAAGCAAGCAGGCTAGCCAGCCATATTGGTGGGCTCTCGGTTTAGCTGAGAAGCTCCTTCCTCAATGAATACAGTATACAATGTTTGAAGATCCCTGATGTCAGCTTTGGACCTATATACCCCTATACACACAACATGTACCCACACAAACATACATTATGTATGCACATTTTATATCCAGACACATGCTTAAAAAGAAACCTCTCAGTATTAACTACATACTTTATATTGAGCTATGTTCTCTGAAGGCTGAATCAACTTTAGACTTTTTCTTTTCAGCAAACATTACCAGGCACATAATTAAGGAAACTGGAAATAAAATTCCTTCCTTAAGGACCCCAGTAATCATGTTTATTTAGAATCCAAATTATAGAAACTGGAAGCATATACTACTGGGGGATGGGGATAGGGTCTGAAATGTATTTTGGAAAACTTTTCTAAATATCTAAGGTAATACCTACAATTCATTCCACTCCCATGTATCCAGATTAAGACAGTGGAGATCATTCATTCTAGCATCCTAAAAAAGAGTTAAGTAAGCAATTACCATTTGAGGCATCCAAAAGCAAGCCATTAAAAACTGTTTCTAAACTCACTCTGTATCTGCCACCAAACACAAAGCCCATGTTTCCAACAGTTGCACAGGCGTGGGCAGCACGAGGTGAAGGTGCTTTTCCCTATTAAAAAGGTATAAAGCAGCATTATAAACTTTATAAACAGGGAAAATATCAATCTTTTCTGAGTATCACAGAACCAAACTATGCCAGATATTCAGATATTTAAAGGTCAAAGTACACATTTATTGACAGCAACAGTAATAGAAGCTGATACTACAACTGACCACTTTAATATTTCTGGGACTGTTACTAAATGAGTGAGTATGTCAGAATAGTTGCTTAAAAAAAAAAGACTGGGGGCTGGAAAGATGGCACAGTGGTTAAGAGCAGTGACTGCTCTTCCAGAGGACCCAGGTTCAATTCCCAACACCCACATGGCAGCTCATAACTAATTCCAATTCCAAACCCACACTCACGGCAAAATACCAATGCACATAAAATAAAAATAGAAAAGTTTTTTAAAAAAGTAAAAACAAAAGACTGGCACTTTAAAAGGAAAGAAATTTAATCTTTAACGCTCAATTTAGTTAACTAGCAAATGAAGGTACAACATAGACTTATATGTTTTGTTTTTCAAGAC